TCCAAAATGAGGGGAAGCGACACCTGGCAAATCTTCGCGAAATCTGCGCAGATTTCGGCGAGCACAGCTATCAGCGTCTAGGAGTGAAAAATCGCTGTAGAGCGATTTCGGTGAGTTCACCACTTTTTTATTATAGTTTCTTCTTGGGTATTTTGTTGCTGTCAGTTGAATTTTCATCACTAGAATACTGAATATTGTTAGGATAAATAATTTCATTAGATGGAATTTAATGTTTCTTGTTATATATACATAGATCTTGTTGAGTCAGAATTCGATAGTTTTTAATGTTCACAAATGTGTTGAACAGTTTTCATACAGCTGATGAGTTTTATAACATTTCTGTCTAACTAACGTTATTTGAAGTTGGAACTATTCTGTATCATAATTTACTTATTTCAGAAAAGTGCCTTCAGAGTACCATTTTCTCTTCCAAAATGAAGGGAAGCGACACCTGGCAAATCTTCGCGAAATCTGCGCAGATTTCGGCGAGCACAGCTATCAGCGTCTAGGAGTGAAAAATCGCTGTAGAGCGATTTCGGTGAGTTCACCACTTTTTTATTATAGTTTCTTCTTGGGTATTTTGTTGCTGTCAGTTGAATTTTCATCACTAGAAATACTGAATATTGTTAGGATATATAATTTCATTAGATGGAATTTAATGTTTCTTGTTATATATACATAGATCTTGTTGAGTCAGAATTCGATAGTTTTTTTAATGTTCACAAAATGTGTTGAACAGTTTTCATACAGCTGATGAGTTTTTATAACATTTCTGTCTAACTAACGTTATTTGAAGTTGGAAACTATTTTTGTAACATATTTTGACTTATTTCAGAAAAAGTGCCTTCAGAGTACCATTTTCTCTTCCAAAATGAAGGGGAAGCGACACCTGGCAAATCTTCGCGAAATCTGCGCAGATTTCGGCGAGCACAGCTATCAGCGTCTAGGGAGTGAAAAAAATCGCTGTAGAGCGATTTCGGTGAGTTCACCACTTTTTTTATTATAGTTTCTTCTTGGGTATTTTTGTTGCTGTCAGTTGAATTTTTCATCACTAGAAATACTGAATATTGTTAGGATATATAATTTCATTAGATGGAATTTAATGTTTCTTGTTATATATACATAGATCTTGTTGAGTCAGAATTCGATAGTTTTTGATGTTCAAAAATGTGTTGAACAGTTTTCATACAGCTGATGAATTTTATAACTTTCCTGTCTATCTAAAGTTATTTAATTTTGGACCTATTTCGTACCATATTTTCATTATTTCAGAAAAGTGCCTTCAGAGTACCATTTTCTCTTCCAAAATGAGGGGAAGCGACACCTGGCAAATCTTCGCGAAATCTACGCACATTTTGGCGAACACAGCTATTAGCATCTAGGACTGAAAAATCGCTTTGGAGTGATTTCGGTGAGTTGACTACTTTTTTATTATATTTTCTTCTTGTGTATTTTGTTGCTGTTTGTTGAATTTTCATCTTTAGAATTTACTGATTGATTTTACGATATATAATTTCATTTTGATGGAATTTAAGGTTTCTTGTTATATTTACATAGACCTTTTTGAGTCAAAATTTGATAGTTTTTGATGTTCAAAAATGTGTTGAACAGTTTTCATACAGCTGATAAATTTTACAACATTTCTGTCTAACTAAAGTTATTTCATTTGAATATTTGATAATTTATTTCACTCTGATACATAAAACAAAATGAACTACAAATAAAGATACATAGCTTGAGCAAGAATTATATTAGAGTGAAATTAGGACCGGTTTTAATACGCCCTCACGAGCGAATTCACCGGTATAGAGAATAGGACACGTAGTAGGATTTATGATCCCAGTAGACGTAAGGGAATGTTGGAAAAGAGTTCTTCGTTGCTTAGCGAGTCGAGAAACTTTCTGAAACGGGTGGTAGACGTGTTAGGGTTGAATCTTGAGCAGAGTCTTTTCCAAAGAGGAATGACAGTGCTAAAAAAACTATTAAATCTGGGACCAGTCTGAATCAAACGAAAATGATACCGAGGTGAACGACTTCTACTGAAAAACTTTTCTGCGCTAGGAAAGTGGTAAATGCCCAGGACGATTTTTTGAAGCGTTACTAGAGCAATAGAAGTTCTCCTACGGAAAACGTGAGTAGAACCGAGTACATCAAGGCGATGGGAGTATGTGTCAAAGGATTTATTACGTCTCATGAAAAACTTGCCTAGTAAAAATGACGGTAAGGTTTTTTTCAAGTAGCACGGACAGTTCTGAATTTATAGGCGGTGAGAAGATTTCAGAGCAATAGTCAAGATAGGGTCTAGCGTACATGTTGAATAGTAAATTATACTGCTGGATGTTCAAGTGAGCAAAAGCTTTGAGCAGCTGTTTAGATTTGAGAGTGGCAATGTTGACTACATGATTAATGTGAGGGCTGAAACACAAATTTTTATCGATAAGGAAACCGAGGTCTCTGACAACAGTTTCAGATCGAATAGGTGAGCCATTAACATTGTAAACATGTTCAGGATTGTTCCTGCCTAGATGAAGAACAACAGTTTTATTGGCCGCAACTGGGAGGCCCCAAGTTTTAGACCAATCGAGCAATCTATTTATACTGTCTTGGATAGCATCAGGGTTATCGGAAGAAATTTTTCAAGTCATCGGCGAACAAATATGAAGTAACGGAAGAGTCGAAGATATCTGGTAGGTCGTTGACAAAAAAATCAGGAAAAAGAAGAGGGCCAGTGACAGTGCCTTGCAAGACTCCTGAGACCACGTTGAAGCTATCATCGGAAGCTAGGCCATCAATTAAAACTCTAGATGTGCGGCCAGAGAGGAAAGTTTTGAACCATTTGACCATGGTAGGATGGAATCCGAAAGTTTCTAGTTTGGCAATAAGAAGGTTGTGTGGGACATAATCAAAAGTTTTCATGAAATCAAAATAAACGACATCGATTGGTAATCCCCTACTAATAGAAAGTTTCCAGTTTGTAACAGAGGAGAGCAAGAGTACAACTTCGATTATTGAGGAAGCCAAACTGACGAGGAGAAAATTTGAGTTTGAAGCTAGATTTAATGTGGGTGGCAATTATTCGCTCCATGAGTCTTGCGAGAGGATGAGTGAGACTTATGGGTCTATAATTTTCAGGATCAGACTTTTTGCCTTTTTTATGAATTGGAACAATGTGAGAAAGTTTCCAGGATTGAGGAACAACACAAGAGAAGTATGAATCTGTGAAGAGAATTGACAGCGGAACAGAAAGGGTATCTCTACACTGCTTTAAAACATAGAAATTCATGAGATCAGATGAGAAGCCAGTTTTGGGAGCCAATTTAGAAATGAATTTATGAATGTTGAGAGGAGAAAAGTCGGGGTGAACAGAAAATGGTTTGCCGGTTGGAAAAATACAAGGAATTTCAAAAATTTTTGAGTTGCGGTTAGTAGAAAAAACGTCAAGAAGGGCAGATGACTTATCAATGTTGGATATACAATAAGCGCCTTTGTGCTCTAAATGAGGTATGGTTGGTTTCAATTTAAGTTTTTTAGAAACATATTTAATTACAGATGAAGGATTTCCAGAACGAACAACATCAAGTTCTTTGCGTTTGAGCAGGAGCTTAACCCTATTTTTGAGACGAGAAAGCGAGGAGTTGAACCTAGATCTCTGGGTGAAAGTAAGAAGCCCTTGTCTTCTCAGGCCGGCTTTGTTTCTAATGAGACTTCTTATACTACAACGAGAGCGATTAGGTCTGAAAGGAGGATTGGAAGGACAATATTGATCAATTAGTCCATTGAAAATATTACAGAAATGCTGGTATTTTTTTTCAAAGGAAGAAAAGAAAGAAAATTGTCTGGGCCAATTGTAGGAGAATAAAGCATTATTGATAGCAATATAGTTACCTTTGCGGTAATTTTTTCTAGGTCTGACTGTGTTAATAGAACGATGAGGGTCACTTTTCAAAAGAAAGGAAACTCCTATGTGATCGGTAGCAATTGGAGGGTTTACAGGTAAGATTGAGAACAAAAAGGGATTGCAATCTGTGAGTAAGACATCAAGGATAGTGTTAGTACCACTCGAAGAAAATCTAGTTGGGAAATCGATTAATTGCTCTAGGTTGAAGCTTGAAGCAAACTGAAACATTTGGTTAGTATGACTAGCATTATCTCCATTCCAGGAGATGTAAGGAAGATTAAGGTCGCCAAGAACAATGTTTTTTTGAAGATCCAAGAAGAAGAGACAAATTTTCTATAAGAAATTTTTGTGTACTCGCTGCTACTGTCCGGTGCTCTATAGATTAGATTGAAACGAAATTTATATCCTGGGCAAATTAGGTCAAAAAGAAATTATTTCGCAGAAATGTTTCGAGTAAAAAGTCGTCCAACCTGGCATCCAGCTCGATGATTTTCAAACTTTTTCCTGTAGAGAACCAACACGCCTCCTCCCGATTTCTTGTAGTGCTCAGGACGTCGATCACATCGAATATGGAAGTAAAAAAATCATTGGTTAGCAAAAGAATCGACGAACGAGTTGTTCAAAAAAACGATTCAGAGACGAAACAAAGGTCAAAAATTCTCAAGATCCAAATAAGTTATCAAAAATTTTTAAACTTAGAAAGAGAGCTAATTGATCGAGCATTAATAAGAAGACATTTGAGGTTGTTGAAGTTATTCTGATCAGATGTTAGTGAATCAAATGGTTTAGACGTATTTACAAAAAGAGTTAGTCAATTTGACATAAGTATTAGGGATATTTACATTAGGAATAACATTGAAATTAGAATCATTAGTATTTACAGGAATTTGAGGCAAAAATAGCAAGAGGAAAAACGTTCGGGCCGCGAAATCGACGGAGTCACCATGAAGGACTCAGACTCACCGTAACCAAACCGTGTGTGGGGTAGAAAATAAAGAAAAAAAGGAGGAGGATCACAAACGGGTCCACGGCTGGTGGGTAGGTGAGTGGGGGAGGACTGGTAGGGCAAAACGGCATCGGAAAGCGCGGTAGTGACGAGATCCTATTGTTCCATGTCATTTGCCTCAGGCACGGAAGAAGGCGCCGCGGGCTGGGTTTCGACAATGGTCGGATCTTTGATCTTCGTTGAAACTACAAACTTTCTAGGTTTGTCAGTTTCGACGATTTCCAGGTCTCTCACAAAATACTTGAAGATTCCGGCCTTGACGTTATCTTCATAAGCCTTTTTTTCTCAGAGAGCGGAGAAGCGATAACTCGGTTAAAGTCATGTCGCGTCTGCAACGTGGATTCAATGGACACGAGAGGCTGACGACAGGAATCGAATGACGGAAGCGACGAATGAACAGATCCCTCGAGTAGGTGGAGGCAAAACGAATCTTCAGTGGCCTGCGTTTGGCGTTACATTGGTGGCGGAAAACTTCTTCAGGGCAGGGTATACCGGCTTCAGCACAGATAGCATCGACAAAGTCCTTGTCGTTCTTGTCTTGGTCAGGAGTCTTGGAGTCGTCGAGTCTTTCAATGACCGCTTGAAAACTTTTTTCGCGAATCGAGGCAAGTTCATTGGTCATTTTAACTTGGGAAGAGAGCTGGGCGAGTTTGGTAGGCAGTGACGGCGCGGTTTTGACGGGAGAAGTGAGAGCCGGTCTTTGTTGTAGTGCGCGGTTTTGGTTTCGAAGGGCTTCGTTTTCGGAAACGAGACGAGCGTTCTCAACAACGAGGCTGGAGTTGATCTCGAGAAACTGAGAAACACGTGCGTTGAGGTCCGCATAGGCTTGTTTGAGCGCTTTATTATCGGCGACAACTTGAGCCAGCAGCGTTCGAACATCTTGATCATCATCAAGATTAGGGTCGGAATTCAATGAGTCATCCGCAGAAGGAGCAGGACGCTTTTCACGAGGTTGCCCCATAGTCCCAGAAACAAGGGGAAAAATCGGGCCACGAAAATTTAAGAGAGAAAAAAGAGTCAAGAGAGAAAAAAGAGTCGAGGACTGAAAAATCGCTTTGGAGTGATTTTGGTGAGTCCGCTACCTTTATCTTATATTTTCTTCTTGTGTATTTTGTTGCTGTTAGTTGAATTTTCATCTTTAGAATTTACTGATTGATTTTACGATATATAATTTCATTTTGATGGAATTTAAGGTTTCTTGTTTTATATACATAGATCTTTTTGAGTCAAAATTCGATAGTTTTTGATGTTCAAAAATGTGTTGAACAGTTTTCATACAGCTGATGAATTTTACAACATTTCTGTCTAACTAAAGTAATTTCATTTGGGACCTATTTCGAACCATAATTTCATTATTTCAGAAAAGTGCCTTCAGAGTACCATTTTCTCTTCCGAAATGGGGGAAAGCGACGCCTGGCTGATCTTCGCCAAATCTACGCACATTTTGGCGGAGACAGCTTTCAGCGTCTAGGACTGAAGCATCGCTGTCAAGTGATTTTGGTGAGTTCACTACTTTTTAATATATTTTCTTCTTGAATATTTTGTTGCTGTCAGTTGAATTTTTAGTTTACATTTCAATTTATTCAGACATCAGAGTAATCGAAAAGGCTCTGCTGAATCATGGTAGATTTGAAGAGCTCCTTGTTGTTGCGCGCAACGGTCGACCAATTCTCCCGCAAGAACGCTTCGGAAGACATCTCGCCAACGTGCTCGTGGTCGTCCAACAGATCTTTTCTTCTCCCAGGGCCGCCATTTTACGATCTTCTTTGCCCACGTTTCTTCTCCCGTCACGATTTTCTTTGCGAAGAACCATTTTCTTCTTGTTGCAACCATTCGAGCGTCACGCATCTTCAATCTTTTGTGGAGCCAACTGTTTGATCTTCTATCCATTAGAGTCACACCAAGCATTCTTCTCATCATCTTCTTCTGTGCTGTGGCTAACATGTTCATCTCTGTTTTCTTGAGGGTCCAGACTTCTGATCCGTATAAGAGCGCAGGTTCTATACAAGCTTGGTATATTTTGACTTTGTTCTTGAGAGGTGTTGTTTTCTTCGTCAGATATATAGAAAACTTGTGGAAAACTGCCCATGCAGATTGGATTCTGCGGAGTCAACTGATTAATGTTAGGATGTATAATTTTATCTAGATGGAAGTTAAGGTTTCTTGTTATATATACAAAGATCTTTTTGAGTCGAAATTCGATAGTTTTTGATATTCAAAATGGTGTTGAACAGTTTTCATACAGCTGATGAATTTTATAACCTTTCTGTCTAACCAAGGTTATTTGATGTTGGAACTATTCTGTATCATATTTTCATTATTCCAGAAAAGTGCCTTCAGAGTACCATTTTCTCTTCCGAAATGAGGGGAAGCGACACCTGACTGATCTTCGCGAAATCTGCGCAGATTTCGGCGACCACAGCATTCAGCGTCTAGGAGTGAAAAATCGCTGTAGAGCGATTTCGGTGAGTTCACCACTTTTTTATTATAGTTTCTTCTTGGGTATTTTGTTGCTGTCAGTTGAATTTTCATCACTAGAAATACTGAATATTGTTAGGATATATAATTTCATTAGATGGAATTTAATGTTTCTTGTTATATATACATAGATCTTGTTGAGTCAGAATTCGATAGTTTTTGATGTTCAAAAATGTGTTGAACAGTTTTCATACAGCTGCAGAATTTTATAACATTTCTGTCTAACTAACGTTATTTGGAGTTGGAACTATTCTGTATCATAATTTACTTGTTTCAGAAAAGTGCCTTCAGAGTACCATTTTCTCTTCCAAAATGAGGGGAAGCGACACCTGGCAAATCTTCGCGAAATCTGCGCAGATTTCGGCGACCACAGCATTCAGCGTCTAGGATTGCAACATCGGTGTGGAGTGATTTTGGTGAGTTCACTACCTTTTTATGACATTTTCTTCTTGGGTATTTTGTTGCTGTCAGTTGAATTTTCATCACTAGAAATACTGAATATTGTTAGGATATATAATTTCATTAGATGGAATTTAATGTTTCTTGTTATATATACATAGATCTTGTTGAGTCAGAATTCGATAGTTTTTGATGTTCAAAAATGTGTTGAACAGTTTTCATACAGCTGATGAATTTTATAACATTTCTGTCTAACTAACGTTATTTGGAGTTGTAACTATTCTGTATCATAATTTACTTATTTCAGAAAAGTGCCTTCAGAGTACCATTTTCTCTTCCGAAATGAAAGGAAGCGACACCTGGCTGATCTCCGCGAAAAGTTCGTCTATTTTGGCGAAGACAGCTTCCAGCGTCTAAGAATGCAACATCGCTGTGGAGCGATTTCGGTGAGTTCACTACTTTTTTATGATATTTTCTTCTTAGGTATTTTGTTGCTGTCAGTTGAAATTTTCTCTTCAGAATTTACTGTTTATTGTTAGAATATATAAATTCATTTAGATGGAATTTAAAGTTTCTTGTTATATATACATAGATCCTTTTTGAGTCAAAAATCCGATAGTTTTTTTGATGTTCAAAAAAATGTGTTGAACAGTTTTTTTATACTGCTGATGAATTTTATAACATTTCTGTCTAACTAAGGTTGTTTGATGTTGGAACTATTCTGTATCGTAATTTCCTTATTTCAGAAAAGTTCCTTCAGAGTACCATTTTCTCTTCCAAAATGAGGGGAAGCGACATCTGGCAAATCTTCACGAAATGTTCGCATATCGACTTCTTGATTTTATTGGAGTTGGACTCTTCAAATTCTTTCCATACTCTGTTGCATCGACATACACCCACTGCATTGCAACTAAAGTCTGTAGTGGAGGGATATCATCAGCCCAATAAGGTTTGTTAGTTAATTCAAATTGTTCGAACAAAAATAGATAAATTAAATAAGAATTTGTATATTTCAGATGTGTCGACAGAACGCAAGATTCTTTCAAACAAAGCGCCACAGAATTGTTCTTCAAGATGTATCGCGATTCTTAAATCGACTTCAAGCCCGAACAAGGCGGTACTCGGGCTGGATTATTCGGAATATCTTTTCCTTTCAAAAAATGCGGCAAAGCGACATCTGCCATATCTTCACTTTGTTGAGGTAATACATTATAAACCATTCTTCAATAAAGATATTCTGTATCCGTATTCAAATTAATTTAAATAAGATTCATTTCAGGCTCACCTGCTCTCACTTATATACGCGGTTTGAATGAAGGAAACATCGGTTCAAACGAAGAGAAAACCCTATCGATCATTGATTTTCACGTTTCGGATACCGACAGTTTTCTACGATGCAGAATATTCGATGATTTGAAAAATAAGAGCAAATTCAGTGGACAAGAAAAAACCAACGAAATTCTAACCGAAATTGGACATGAAGAGAGAATGAAAATTTCGAAGGATGGACTGCCCCATTGGAGTCGAAATAACGTCGAGAATTATCTCCAGGATATCAAATTGACTTATGACTCGATGTGTTTAGCTTTTTAATAGTTTTGTTCCCAATACGAGTACTTTTATCAACTGTGACTAACTATTGTAAACCCTATTTCGGAAAATCTTCCAGTTCAAAATCTTATTAATTCTTTTCACCTTGTGGAAGAATAAACTATTATCATTAGCTTTTGATAAATTAGTTTGGATAAAGGTTTTTAATTCAAACTTCAGAAGCCAGAAAAATGATCATAGAAAAATATTGAAACTTCTCGGTTAACTCCGATTAAAAAAGCTTTGGGAAAAAGCAGAAAAAAAGTTTTCATTGAGTCTTTGTTAGTTTCCATGACTGAAATGAAAAATATTGGGTGATGAATTTTCAGTTACAGATAAATGCGATAACTGTCAGAGGTTGAAGTCAAAACGATGATTTAAAAAATCTTTAATTTTTTTTTCGAGCCTTTTGAGTAGTACTTTTGGGAAAAAAATGCTGAAAGAAGGACTTGAAGTCAGTGAAAAATATCAAAAGTGTGAAATTTAGCTCTTTTTGGAGCTTTGAGTCCCTATTCCTCAAATACTAGGAAGTTGTGCAGGTTGAGACTTCCAGCATTTTCTTCTGCAACTTCAAGAAGTGCTCCAGCCAGTTTTTCAGGCAAATCTCAACCGCAAAGTAAGATGACCTTTCTTGTTAGCTCCGAAAAATATGACCATGAATAAAAATTTCAATTTGTACTGGTGAAATTTATGAAAATCTCTGAACTTCTAAACATGAATCACGGAATTTTCCGAAAATATATGGCATCCGTACGTCTTTATATTCTATTCAAAAGAAGAAGATGTCGCTTTTGTTGGAAAACAACTCGCAAAATTAGATTCAAAAACAATTTCTTGAGAAAAAGAACACCAAAAGCCCGTTGGTTTTTTTTCTGCTTCTTCTCTCTGTCTGTTCGTGGACTGAACGATTTTGATTCCATTTGAAAGTTTCTGGTTTCTGAAACAGAAAAATTTTCGGAAAATATTTTGGCTCCCCACAAATTCTGGAATAAAGAAAATTTGCGTTTTTTGTTCAAAAGAAGCTAGCGAAATTGGTTACGAACGATAACGCTACACATGGGTTCCGATGCAGACTTGAATTTGCATTCATCCGACGTTTTTCTTCCGTTGTTTCTGCTCTCTGGAGGGAATTTTATTTTTTTATGTCACACGAAGGAAAAATTGCACTTTTTGAATGATTTTTTTGTTTTTTTTTTTGAAACTTGGAGCTCGTTGAAGACAATTGTCCACTTGAATACTTTCTAGCATGTCTTCATAATGACGAAAAAAAGTTCGAAAGCTTGTTCGAACCTTCATTTTTACATTCCGATAGGAGCATGGAAAAAAAACGTGTAGAGTATTTGTTTTTGAATGTAGGTTCTGAAAAAGAATACGTTTCTGTCTGAAAAATCCAGAATGAAATTTGTGGGTGCCGAAAATCTTAAAATTCCATCTTTTTCATTTCAGAACATCTATAATTATTCCATTTTTTCACGCCATCCCTGCATTTTTATTCGCTTTATTTTTACGCATCTTGACATATTTTGTACATTTAAGAAGTTTTGGTTTATTCACTTTACATTTTCAAGATTGCTCTTGTCTGATTTGATTTGATCTATCTGATCTAAATCTGATTAAATGAAACAGAAAAAAAGATTAATAGTTTTTACCTTACCAAAAATGATATAAGGAAAGTCAAAATTGACCTCTGTTTTCAAATAAAAGGTCGTCTCCAGGAAAAGCTTTCTGATTATTCGTCATCGGTTTGGTCAATTTTCGAAGCTTTTTAAAGTCTCTAGTGACCCTTTTTGTAAGCTCAAGCTCTGACTTTGACCGCAGTGTAATTTGAACACAGGCTAATCTCATTTTATTGCTTTGTTTTCTCACATTGAGGTCCGAATTGTCGTTTTTGTTTTATCTCTGTGAAAAACACCATTTATAATCAGAACGCCCAGTGCCCTTTCAAAAAAGGGTGTATTTTTCATAATGGCAGCGAACGCCGATAACCGAACACAGGGTCCCAGCTTGCGGTCATGCCCGAAGGCGTAAATTTTCTCTTTCTCCCGTTCACTTGAATAATTTGATTATTAAGCCTCATCATCTCCTCGTTTGTTTGAGATCCTGAACCGCCTAATTTTTTTGATGTTCCAGGAAATGTGTTTATTTTTTTTTTCAACTCGAAAAGATCGAAAAACAATTTTCAGGAGCATGTTGGTGGTTTTTCAAGTTCTTTTTCGCCTTTTCCGGCTACCAACGGTTGAGGTTGTTTCTTTTTTGTTTTTTCATTAAAAAAAACATTAAAAACTGATGATTTCGAATCAAACTTGTTCAGAAATTCTTCATGAAAAAAACAGCTCTGAAATTTGGATGAAGCAAAACTGCTACAAGTTTTTTTCAAAAAAACCTCCAAGTGAAAAAAATACGTTACTGTTACAATCACAGAACTTATCCAAACAGATGTAAATATTCAAAATTTTTTCAACTTTTCGAATAATATCACAGTCTTGTTATTAACCGATATTCTAGTTTTTCTCCGTGAGGTAGAATTTACTTTTTTTATTAGTGAAGGCGATGTTGATTGAAATTCGCGCTTCGAGTGCACACGGGGCTCAGCTGTTTAGAGGAATTCCGAGACCGAGGGTGACGAGTTTAATGTCCCAAATTAGAGTGACGGCCATTTCGCATGGTGTATGGTCCTGGAATACTACTAGAACTTGGCTCGGTTGAATCGATTGTTCTGAATTTTTCACTTATTATTCTTTTTTTTGGATTTATCCACTGCTGTCTGAAGTTGTAGATTGAATGTATACAACATCGGGGTTTTGCAGAAGTTAAGAAAACTTTTAAAACTTTTTTTCGGCTTTGTTCGCATCAAATCTGAGACCATCCTTCTTTCCCTCCAAACTTTTTCTTCTTTTTTGGCCCTACGTTCAAAGTTCTCTTCCAGTTTAGATTCCAAATGCACAACCTGCAATCAAAAAACACAAAGTTTGAGGTACTATAACCAGGTTTTCAAATGCTTATTGAGAAAAAGAGCTTGTTCCAGCGGGCCAAGCCCTTCACACTACATTGCTCACTTTTGATGCTTGTACTCGCCTACGCCTTTTTTGGCGGATTCGTCTTCAATCGTATTGAAAGCGAAGCGCATCAGAAGATGAAACGAGATGAAAGGATCAGTCGGACGAAATGTGTATCAGCGGTGAGTTTACTGTTTCAAAAAATACCTTAGCTTCACATCAATAATCAAGACATCCGAAATGCAAAGGTTGGGGGTTGAGAGTTTGATGAAACTTTCTTGATAATTTTTTTAGAGCGGTATGATTTTTCAAAAAAACTTAAAAACCTGCCCATTATGTTTGTTTGACCACTTTATATCAATGAATCAATATTATAGCATCCGAAATGCAGCTTGATGAAATCTAGGAGGAAAAATTTAAACTCAAAAATGTGTGGTGATGTTTATTTCATTTGAAACCTTAAGATTCCTAGTGATAATATCAAAAACTTACTCAACTAAGGATTGAATGAACACTTTCTATTTTTCTAGATCCTTTTATTGAATTATAGAGCTCCTTCAAAGTTGAAAATTGTAATCTTTTAGGCTCAAAAAAATATTCAAATAATTCTCTTCTTTTTCAAAGTATTTTTTTAGTTATAGTTTCCAACTTTCGTTCGCATAAAAACTCAAACTTTCAGGTTCTCTTGCGATATCGAACTTGGTCAAGTAACAATTCACATCACAATAATCTTGCTGAAAAAGTAGCGGATTGTTTTGAAACCGAGAAGTTAACCATTTACCAAAATTTAATTTACATGGAAATATTACAGAGATGAGAGAAGTGAGTGGAATTTTGTCACAGCAACTCTTTATGGATTTGGCATCGTTACTACTCTCGGTAAGAAATTCATTACTCATGGTGATGCGAAAAATAGAAGTCTGAATTGATCTCAATTTCAGTACAAAAAAATCTTCTGCGAAAAAAATCATCTTATACTTGACATTACTTTTCATTTAAGTATTCAAATAAAAAAAGTAATCACAATCTTCAAAAATTTTGATTAGAAGGACATTTCAAAAACTTGATATTCTAAATACTGCCCGAAACGCTAGAAATTCAAAAGAGGTGGTACTCAAAAACTAAGGGACTTTTTAGATTAAAGAATACACTTACCAAAAATTTATGCGCAATTAGGAAAAAATTTAGAGTGGGAAAACGAAATAAACCATGAAAAAAATGAAGGAATTTCCTTTCTCTGACAAGGGAGATCATTTCAATTTGCCGTTGGAATTTTCCTGAAAGTTGGCCAGAGCGTACCAGAAAAAGATCCCAAAAGTCAAAGGAAACCCTCAAAATTCATGAAAATAGGTTATTTTGGGGCTTTGAGCCCTTTTTCGGGAAAACTAAGAAGTTGTACAGGTTGGGACTTTTCTCATCCTTCGAAATTTTCAGAACCTTTTTTATCATTTTTAGGTTACAACAGAATCGCACCGATAACTTACACGGGTCGGATGTTTTGTATAGTATACGGCATCTGTGGAATACCGGTCACTATGATTATCATAGCTAACGTGGGACAGTACCTGAATAACTTCGCTGGGGATTCTCGAAGAAGAGTGAGAGTTTCACAAAAATCAGAAATGATCTTTCGGGTTCAGATTGAAGCTTACCGCCAGCAGAGAAGAATGTCCAAAGCGTCCTTGACGGGCAAAGTTTACAAGGTCTCAAGCTTTTTTGACCATTTTTAGATTTTTTGTTACAGGAATCATCAATACAAGTAACTTCATTAGTCCTTTTGTGCGCTTTCCTGGTATATGTAACTGTAGGAGCTCTTCTCTTGCCTGCTCTAAACGGAGAGGTAATAAAAGAAAAGGTGAACGTGATTTTCCTTTCTTTATCAGGTGGACTTTTTCAATGGGCTTTACTTCAATTTTTTGTGCTTGACAGCTATTGATTTTGGTCAGTTGGTACCAATCAGGTTGGTTTTTTTGATTGAGAGCATTCCACAAAGATTTTCCAGAGTCGAATTTTTACCGATCACGTTTGTCTACGTTTGCATTGGATTGGCTATTACCACTATCGCAATTAGTAATCTCTCAGTTCAAGTTTATCATGATGTTGTTTTTTCTCAGATATTGGATCGGAGTACATGAAAAAACTTCACTACTGGGGCAAGAAAATGAAAAACGCTGCGCAGACGAAAATATGGTTCGGCGGAAAAACGTAAGAAAATTGATGAGAAAAAGAAAAAATACTTTCTCAAAATTCAGATTGAAGGTGCGAGATCTTCTGCATGCTGTAGGCAAGAAATGCGGAGTTGAACCAAGTGTCATTGACGCTCTTGATCTGGAAAATGTGGTTGAGAGAACCATTGCAATGCAGGTTTGAACAAAAACCATTTTTCAGATTGAAAATGAGGTTTTCAATTGTTCAGGAAGGGAGAACTCCACCCGACGACGTCAACGAGGAGCCTCCTTCTCCGCGTTCTGTAATCCACTCTCCATGTTCCGCTCGTAAGATTTCGAAGCCTCCTCCATCTCCACGGTCTCCGGATAACGAGAAGCAGCTATTTACACGGTATGGGTACCAACTTATTTCTTGGGTATGGTTTTTTACAATAAACTTTTTTGGTTAGTTCGGAAGGCTCTTTGGATTTTGAAAAGGAAAGAACTATGTCATTTCTTTTTTGCATTATCTAACCGTTCGAATTAGACCAGTTACTTTAAGCGTTTTTAAAAGAACCCTATAGGGACCCCTAAGAATTTTTGATAGAATGGGGTCCACTCAAGCATTAGAATTTAAAGGGTCAGGCCCTAAACCCCTATAAGGACCACTTTTTCGGACTCTATCAGGGCTTTTTCCCCCTAACCCCTATAGGGGCCACTCTGGGATTCCTGAGGTAGCATTTTAATTTTTCTTTCAAAATTTATATGATGAACTAGAATATTTGAACAACAAACCATTGTTCTTCTTCAGACCAAGTGTAAAAAAAGTGTCGAGGCCTGAGCTGATAATAAAGAAGCCAGTGTTTGCCACTCTTTCAAACGAACATCAAGTGCAATCGGCACAAGAAAAGGCGAGACTGAGAAATTTTATCGTTTATAACAACTTTTTCAGCACTTCACTCCTTTCGATTTTTGCCAGCTAGAAATCAATCCAGAAACAGTTGTTGAAGATGTTTGTGAAGGAGTCGTCATCATCGAACCACCGCGAGCGTTGGAAGATATTATGGTGACTTATTCTTACTGTGCTAGAAAAATGTGACAGTTTAGGTCCAACCTTTATCTCCACTTCAGCTTCGCGGCCGCTCTCCTAGTATAGGGAAAGACGAGAAAAGTTTGTAGCCTTATAATTATTGAACTTTTTTCCGGTTGCAGTCCCTAAATGCTTCAAAGAGAAAAAAGAAATGTACGGCCGGGACCCTCGCAAATTGTATGAAACGTATCAAGAAGAATGGGAGCGACTTGAACGAATATCCGATAGGAAATATCTTCCTATTTCAGGGTGAATTCTCATATTTATATCTTTTCTTACTCAATTATTTTCAGGCATGGTTCTCGTCGAAGATCCGTATTGAATTTGGCTCACATGTCTCCAGAAAGAGGCGAAAGCTCGTCTCCACTGCCGCCTTTCAACCATTCAGAAAATGAAAATTAGCAACTTAATGATATTTTTTGGCATTTTGTGCACAAATAAATTGCCGTAAAGATTTCGAAAGAACTTTCTGGCTCATGAAAATTGAACTTTAAATTTTTTTTTGATTTATTGGATCTGCTCAGTGCGGTCGAAGTTTTCCATTTTTCCAATTTTTTTGTCTCCATTTATTCGCAAAGTGTGTAAATCGTGAAGCAATTGATGAAAAATTGTTTATTCATCTATATGATATAAAATTAACTTCAAAAAGAAAGAAAAAAAGGCCGACTACTTCACGCAGGATCACTCACAGCTCGGCAACTGACAAAAAGTCCTTTTTACTTTGGAATGGACTTTTTTTTTCGATACTTTCCGTTTCATTGCAACATTCCTAGTCTAGACTTGCCCAAAATCGTTTTCTTGAGGTCCATTGCCTCTAACTGTTTTTTTTTCAGCAGAAAGATAACTTTTGGGAATTCAAAAAAAACTAAATAAATGAATTTAGAAAAAATGCGGGACCCCAAGTTTCATCAAAAATTAGTAATTCGACTCAAAAAACCAATATGATCACGGACCAACCATCGAAAACGATCAAGATCAAAAACCTCGCACTCAGAGAGATAGATTGGCGGGAAAAGACACGTCCTTCGCATTTGTGTGCAACGCGAAAAGTTGTCTGCCCAACGCGCATTGATTACCCTTTTGACCTGTCTTGTTGTTCTTCCACTCGTTTTTTTATTCCAGCAAAATTAAAGTCTTTATTTTTTTGGAATGTTTCCAATGTGCCTTTCATTCAAAATACTTTTTCATTATAATCTTTTTATCACTTTTTATGAAACGTGCAAATTTTTAAATTAACTTCAGATTTTTAATAGCGAAATGTTTCAAAAATTACTAAGACAAGAAAGTTTTTCTCAAGTTAAATAAGTTGAAAACGTTTGATTTGGAAAAGGAAAATTGAGAAAGTAGAATCTAACTTTAAAAAAACAGTGAATTGCTATTCATTCACTTTATTAGCTTTTCAACGTTTTCCGCTTAATTTTGACCAGAAAAATAACCTGGAATTTAAACTTAAAAACGACAAAAACGAAACAAAAAATTAAACTATAGCGAACCTTTCTATACTGTTTCATCCCGAATATATCTATATAAATCCGCCTTTTTTTCCTTCTTTTTTTCAGCTTTCTGGTTGCAATAATGAAAAATAATAAAAATTTAAAAAAGTCCTTTTTTATTGTTTATTGAGATTATCTAGATCACAAAAAGAATTGATAATCGATCAGAGGCCCGTATATTTTGTTTAAATTGTTGCCAACAAGTGTCCTTCGCCCGGCGCGCGTAGAATTGGAAATGTCACGCAGTCCGCTCGGACTTTGTGTACGCCAGTTTCTTCGCAACTCATTCGATTTTTTTTTTCAATTTTTTTTCTATCAACATAACATCTCTGTTTCAGCATAATGTTAAGTCGTTGTGCTCGAGGATTCGCCGTTCCCGTCCTCAAGGGTGTCCTTCATGTAAGCTGATTTTTTTTTTGGTAACAAGCTTTGATAATGATGTAGAACATTCATGGAGAATTTTTCAAAAAAAAAAATGAGACCAATTGAAATTTTGACATCATATTTTTTTCTGAAACACTAACATGATTTAAATTCACTTTTTTTCAAATAACTGCTCCCAAAATAGAGGAAACCTGCAGTTATGCGTTTGAGCGTGAGAGAAAAAACAACTCAATACAAGTTTTTGAACTCAGTATTAATGGTTCTCTTTTAATGAATAAAGATTGTAAATTGCTCTCGGGAACTCTAAATTTTTTTAGTTTACGAAGTTTTTCCACAAAGTTGTTTTGATTCAATATTATGAGGATTCGAAATATATTTTTTTGTTACATACAAAAACCTTTTTTCCAGCCCACGCGTGCTACCAGCAGCATCGCTCACACGATGAAGGTAGCCGAAAGAATCGAAAAAACTCGCGAGAAGGCCCTTCAAGGTGGAGGCCAGAAACGTATCGACGCTCAGCACAATCGAGTAAATTTTGATGATGAATTCTATGAAAATAAACAGAGAATATTTTTCAATGTGTTTTTTTTAGGGAAAACTTACGGCTCGGGAGCGACTCGACCTTCTTCTGGACCGCGGTTCATTTCGAGAATCTGACATGTTTGCGGAGCACACGTGCACTGATTTCGGAATGCAGAAGGAAAAGGTACAGTTTCTATATGTTAACGAAAAAAAGCTTCGATATTACATAGTTTCAAATTATTGAAGCGTTTCGAACCGACAAATTTTTGCAAAGAAAAAATTCTTTCATGAAAAAAGGAAAAACCTGTTTTATCAATATTTTATTGTAATATTTCTTCTATTCATCTCAAAGATAAAGTTACTGAACTCATGAAAAAAATACGCTGAAATGAATTTTTTTCTTTTCAAAAATTTGAAATTTTGTTAACGAAGTTTATTTTTAAAAAAATATTTTTTTATATTCGTTGATAAAATGTTCATTATAGAGTCAGATCAGAGTAAGAGCTTTTATAATTACTTAAATCAAAAAAAATTGTTGTAAAGCAAAAACTAAGTTTTTGAATTTCAGTATCCCGGTGATTCGGTCGTGACTGGACGTGGAAAAATCAACGGCAGAACAGTTTTTGTATTCTCTCAAGACTTCACTGTTTTCGGAGGATCTCTTTCTTCAATCCACGCCAAGAAGATCGTCAAAATCATGAAGGTCGGATTCCTCAATAAATCAATAAAAACGACAAAAAAAATAATCGAGCGAAGTCCGTTATTTGTGTGCAGAAGTTTCCAGAGACCAAGTGGAAAATTCAGCAAAAATGTAGCAAATCGGATGTAGAATCTGAGAAAAGCTTCTCTGTGCCATAATAAAAATCGATACGAAATCATGCTTTTCTATTCATTTTTATTTAGGACGCAATGCTGGTCGGGGCGCCCGTCATCGGACTGAACGACTCTGGCGGCGCTCGAATCCAAGAAGGAGTCGATTCTCTCGCTGGTTATGCTGATATTTTCCAGGTATTCATATTTTCTGAATTAAAAAAATCATATTTTTGGAATTTCAGGCTAACGTTCTAGCTTCTGGTTGCATTCCACAGATCTCCTTAATCATGGGTCCTTGCGCTGGAGGAGCTGTGTATTCTCCAGCTCTCACTGATTTCACTTTCATGGTTTGCGATTTTTGAAAGAAAGAAAAATATTTCACCACCATCAAGATATAAAGAAAACCAACGAAAAAAAAATGAATTTTCCCGATTTTTCTGGATATCAAATAAACTGTACAAAAAAAAGTTTGAAACAAAATGTAAAATGATCGAAAGAAACGAGCGACTCGTGCTTGCTCAAAATGCCTCGTAAGTATGATTACTGTTTCAAAAAGTGATGAAAAAAAGTCAAAAGGTCCAACTATAAATTTGGAAGAATCATTACCCCAACTTTAAAAAGTTTCAAATAGGTTTCAAATTTATTATAACTGAATTATAAATGTCCTGAAAAATAGAATTTCAAAGATACTCAACATTTACGAGGACACAGTAAGATAATATAAAAAAAAGCTTGAAGAATTCTGGAGGAGCTCCTTTTTTTTCATTGATAACTTCAGGTTCGAGACACGAGTTATTTGTTCATCACTGGTCCTGACGTAGTAAAAGCCGTTACCAACGAAGAAGTAACTCAAGAAGAACTTGGAGGAGCTAAGACACATACCGTTACTTCTGGTTAGCGTTATCCCACATTTCTGTTTCAAAAATATAAAGAATGAAACCATAAGACATTTTTTTCCAGGAGTCGCCCATGGCGCTTTCGACAACGACGTTGATGCTCTGATGCGAATGCGGGAACTTTTCAACTATTTGCCACTTTCCAACACGGACAGTCTGCCAATCCGAGCTTGTGACGACCCGTGGTATAATTTTGAAATGTTTCTATAAATATGAAAAAAAATTCTACTTGATTTTTATGATTTTAGAAAATTTCCATCACTTTTTTAAAAATTTCGCGAAGATCTGTTGAGAGTTCCTGAGTTCAGATCACACAAAAACGTAGAAACCTGTCCAAAACTTGACTGAAAGTTGAAACTGGAAAGTTTGTTTTACACGTATCAAAACGACCATTCTTGCAGCTTTTCATCATATTTTTGAGCTGCGGCCTTTTTTTAAGGATATGTTACGGAGGTTCGAAAATTCCATATTTCTTTGATGTTCTTCATTCACAGCCGAAAACAGTAGTTTTTGAAATCATATGTCCGATATTTTAAGATTTAACGGTTTAACGAAACTTGAGACTCGTATATCAAGAAATTCTAGAAAAAAAGACCTTAAAAAAAAAACTTGACAGGGATCGCGACGTTCCATCTTTGAACACTGTCGTTCCTTTGGAAAGCACAGCCGCCTACAACATGAAAGACGTGGTCTCGGCTTTGGTTGATGAGGGAGACTTTTTCGAAATCATGCCGGATTACGCTAAGGTGCAATTAAAAAAAATTCCGAATTATCTCTTTATTATCAGAACATCGTTGTCGGTTTTGCTCGAATGAACGGCAGAACCGTTGGAATCGTTGGAAACAACCCGAAATTCGCTGCCGGTTAGTAGTGTCTTTCTTTGAAAAAGTAGAAGTTATACAATTTCAGGTTGCTTGGATATCAACTCGTCGATTAAAGGAGCTCGTTTCGTTCGATTCTGCGACTCTTTCAATGTTCCTATCATCACCTTAGTTGATGTTCCTGGGTTCCTTCCTGGTGAGTTCTTGGGAGCTTCAGATCAGTTTTGAACCATTTGGCGGAAATAAAAATGCTGCGAAAAATCACAAGTTTCTAGATAAAACCTTGAAACAGAAAGGTTTGACTAGGGAACGTTTTTCACTCACGGTGGAACATTTGACTAAATTTTTCTGCAAAGTACTTAAGTACCTCCTAATTGCAGAAAAAAATTCTCGCAATAGATCTTTTTTTCGAGTCATAGAGCTTCAAAGTCCGCAAAATACACAAAATGAGACAAAAAAGCGCTGGTTCACGCTTTTTTGTCATAATTTGCGGACTTTAAAGCGTTCCCGGGTGAACTTTTGGTACTCATGACAAAAATTATGAAACTTTATGTGTAAACAGTTTCGTCAAGCAAAATGATTACTGTGTCTTTCAGGAACTTCCCAAGAATACGGCGGTATTATCCGCCACGGAGCGAAGCTTCTCTATGCATATGCTGAAGCCACCGTCCCCAAAATTACGATCATCACCCGCAAAGTTTGATTGAATCAACTTCTCTTGAGAAAAAGTACTTGACAGGCCTTTGGTGGAGCCTACGACGTCATGGCTTCGAAACATCTTCGTGGAGACATCAACTACGCCTGGCCCACCGCTGAAGTTGCCGTTATGGGAGCCAAGGTTGGGCAAAAAAATAGAGGAAAGTGAAAATTTCACTTCAGGGAGCTGTTTCCATTCTGTTCCGAAACGACAAAGCGAATGCGGCCAAGCATGAGGAGGAGTACACAGAGCTTTTCAGCAACCCGTTCCCGGCCGCAGTTCGAGGTTTTTTCTTCTTCCTGATCAAATAATCTCAAAAAATCGAAAATTTCGGTTATATCTGAAGTTGGATTCAAGAACTTGAAAAGCTAAAAGAAACCTGTTCTGAGTGAGTATAAAAGTGAAATTGTCGAATTTATGAAAGATTTTCCGTATGTAAAATCAAAAAAATCAAGAATAATCAAAAAGTTCTCGCCGTACTGACGTCATCAATCCATATCTGTAAATAATTTGATAGAGCCGCAAAATTAAAAAAACGATCTTAAAAATAGTGCAGTTCAGCTGAAAAAATCAGATGAGAAAGGAAGATACATATTACTAATTCAATCACAACACACCACTTAAAAATGCGAAAATTTTTTCTGTAGACGAAAATCATTGTTTCCCTTATGAAACATTAAACTTTAGGGCATCTTGGATCAAAACCTCCCAATAAAACTTATCTATTCCGAAGCTGAATTTTCAACATTTTCAGGCTTTATCGATGATATCATCAAGCCGTCCGAGACCCGAAAGCGCGTGTGCGATGACCTCAACATGCTCGAAGGGAAGAAACTGACCAACCCATGGAAGAAGCACGGCAACATCCCCTTGTAACAGAAATCGCCATATCTCTCTTGTTTATTCTATTTTGATGCCATACAATACGTAGTGTTCACGGTGTCTGTTTTTAGATTGTCGTCTTATAATAGTTTTTTTCATCTGATAAAAATATTCGTTTATTATACAATTATTAGTAATAGCTTTGAAGTTTGAACTGAGGTTTTTTTGCTTTTTTTCTATAAGACACCGAAGAACTTGGCGACGCTGGTGAGAATGGCTCGTTGCACGGGCGGAATGACTTGTTCGACGTCTTCAACACTTGGAATTTGAAGTTTTGGCAGATCTTCCATCTTTGGCATGGCCCCTGGCGGTGGAGGCGGGAATTGCGGCATCAAAAGGTTAGGCTGAGGCTGGAGTTGAGTTTGAGCTGGAGGAGACTGGAAGTTGGGTTGGGCGTTTTGTTGAGCGAAAGGAAGGTTTTGCTGAGGCAAGCCGAATCCCAGAGGAGAAGCTGGAGCTGGAACCTGTGGCTGGCTGAACCCGGAGTTGATGTACTGAGGTTGCGGAACAGATTGCCCGTTATAGTAGACTCCTTGGCCTGGGAACTGTTGTTGCGGCTGTTGAGGCAACGGTTGGAATGGGATAGCGCCCGGGAGAGGTTGGATCGGAAGCTGTTGCGGGAAGTTCGGCTGCGCGCCTTGGTACAATCCATAGCCGGTCTGACCAAATTGGCCATAGGGTGTGTTCTGAAATGAGAAAGTTTAGTATTTGATATTTGATGTCCATTTTGATGTTGGTTAATAAGTCAATAGTTTCTAATGGCTACCGTTGTTTGAAAATAAATCAAAAACTACTTGAAAGAAAAGTTCAGACGATCTTTCCTTTTTTTTAAGTTCCAGTGAGTGAAATTTATTTTTGATTCTATAAATGGGGTAAGATTTGAATAAAATGAGGGGGAGAAATGAGTTTTTTTTTCATCGATAGACCATTCACCGGATTTCAAAAGATTTCCGTTTGAATCAATTAATCTTTCCGGGATATCGCTAAATTTTTCAGGTCAGATAAGCCGCAAAAAAAATTCTTAGATAACAGTGAAGATTCAAGAATTTTTAAAAATGTCATTTGAAACATTTCTCTCTACCCAACAACCGCTCGGATTTTTCTGATTCTGATATCAATTTCTGACCTGCTGGTATTGTTGGTTAAGTTGATAAGGATATTGCTGAGGGACTGCTTGTTGAGGCTGAAGTTGAGGCTGCTGTCCGAACTGTGGGAGCTGAGATTGTGCTTGGGGTGGCGGTTGCAAATTTAGTTGCTGTGGGGGTTGAGGTTGAGGCTGAGGTTGAGGTTGAGGCTGAGGTTGCGGCTGAGGCTGAGGTTGAGGGATAGTCTGTTGTTGCGCCGTTTGTAGCTGAATCTTCTATAATTTAACTTCCTTTAAAAATGACTTACAACTTGTTCTTGAGCTTGTGCTACGGCTGCCTGTTGGACTTGGGCAGTTTGATGATCTGAAAATTTGAAAAATTAGATTATGTTCTTAAAATAGACAAACCCATAGTTGAAGCGAAACTTTCGGCGCAGGCCATTCTGCGGATTGAAACATAATAAGTTATGCTGAAAAACGAACTTCAAAACGGCTTCTTCCAAATTCTTCACCTTCCATTCGAGCTGACTTCTTTGCTCAAGTTGGAGACGTAGTCGAAAGCCACAACTTTGCCATCTTCCACAACTTCTCCTCCAATCACGAGTTGCCCCTTCAACCCTTGTTCATGAACGGGATTCGTCTCTCTGAATCTAACCTGTTTCACAGTTGCCACGCCTCTATCTTGAGCGTCCACCAAAGGTTGGTAGCTGCAGCATTTCATCTGGAAATCAAATGGTTTTTAGTGCAAAAAACCGAAAGGATTACTTGGAGAGTAGCTGAACTAGCATCGATTTGTGGAGAAAGTCCACCGATCCACTCTCCATCCTTGCAGCTGCTTGATTTGAAATTTTCCGAGCAAACCTGAAGTATGGATAAAATGATGTGTTTTCTTGATACGCAACGTCTACTCTTTCTGAAAATTTTTGGTCACTATAAAGAAATTGGAGGGTTAAGGCAACAGGTTGTGAGCCTGTCTACGGTCCACAAAGTCACAAGTTCGATCCCCTCGACACAACCAAGGCGTAGAGAAATTTTGGCAGTTGGAAATCACGATTTCAAAATTCCCAGCCGTCACACACAAGGACGGGTCAGTCCAGTGATTATCATTGGCATCAGGATAGGACCACGTCTAATCGACTTGGGGCGCCGACGCCGCTCAAGCGGTACGAAGGAAGAAGGAAAAGAAAGAAATTGAAGAGTTCTTTAAACTTCGAAAAGGATTTTTCGTGGTACAATTTTTTGGCATATTTCTTGTCATTCTTTTGAGTATGATGTAAAAAAAAATTAAGAAAAAAAATGGAACTCACCGCGGTTTGAGGGGTGAAGTTAGGATCACTGCTGACAGTCGTCAGACGCTGATCGCCTTTGCGCATGTACCCATCTTCTTTTCCGGCAACATGGTAGAACTGAGCGCTGTCGCCGGCTCTGGTACCATTAGCATTCCATCCGAAACACTTTGGCCTTGCGCAGCCGAGAACTGGGTGTCCTGACCGCAGAACCTAATAGGAAAGTTGAAGAAAGAAACTATCCTCCGAAAACCTGGAAAGTAAAGGGGATGGCGGACTGGCTACAATATGAACCAAAAGTGAAGGGCAAGAATACGAGGAGAAGTAATACGTACATCCGTACCTCTTTAGATGACCGTCTTTGAAACTTTGCTTCCTAGAGGAGAATGAGACAAAGCGCAACAAGCTCAAAGCGGCGAATAATGAAAAGGGATATTTGGGATGGATTCCGTGAATGTTAGAAAATAAGGTCAGCCGGCCCCTGGAAGCGCGCGGATGTCAGCATCAGATAAGCGACCGTTGAAACCGAAAGTCGATGTTCGCTTCATCACAGAAAGTGGACCGTTTTCCTGAACCGAGTGATTGCGCAGTCAAGGTTTCACTGTCGCATTACAAATCGGTTTCGGGAAAAATCATTTGAGTTCAATAAATGAACTTTTGCTATGAAACTGTAATTTAATATGTGAAATCATGGGGGATTCATTTTATTACTATGTACTCTATTTTTTTAAACTGTTATTTTTTTCGAAGCTTCCTTTTTAATTTAGTCTCGGGAAACTAGGCAATCCATTCTCTCCATCATCTGCCAATTTCTGTCTTTTTTTTGTAAAACTAACTTCAAAAAAAGATATTCATTGTAATTTGAAACGGGAAAAACGAGTTGCGTTGAAGGAATATTCTTGAAATGTGAAATGAATAAAGGGCAGAAGGTTTTTTTCGAAAAATTAAGTTTTATGCTTTGGAAAAACGCCTGTTTTCGATGAACCCAATCAAAAAAATTGAATAAGGGGATAGCATCTTTTCGCAAAAAAACTGGGAATGGAAAAATTGAATAAAAAAATTTTTAAAGTTTTTTTGCATTCGAATTGGTGAAGATACACAACGTAGTTTGAAATCACAGAGTTGAGGAGAATACATTTAAAGAGAGATAACGGATTTGAATTAAGGTCTAGTTGAACCACAAGTAGAAGCTCCAGTAGGCAATGTTGAAGAAAGTGAAGACCACTGGGAAGACGATGCGACACCTGGAAGTAATTCTCGTTCTCTTCTTTATAGATAAAGATTGAAACAGTGAACAAGGGGAAAGGTAAATTTCGTGACCTCTCGTCGATCCTTTGGGCGACGCGCCTTCCTCTGAGATTTCTCAATGCGCGGGTCCAATTAAAAGCCCTTCGTGATACGTCGACAGTCTGAATTATTTCAGCTTTTTCAATTTTAGGAAGTTGAGAAACATTTGAAAATATTTGAAATGAAAAACTGAGTATCGGAGCAAAAGAAGGTCTCCAACTGAAGAAAAACACTCAGGCAACAATAAAAAATGACGATTTGAAATTTTTTTGCATCATTCTGATAGACACACTTTGAAAAAGTAACATGCAAAATGATGAAAATAGAAAAAATGAATAAATCACTCCATCTTAACTGAAAAATGAGATTCTTCGTTAAATTTTCCACAAGTCGCTTAGAAAATAATATCTGTCCAAAGCAGAGAAAAAAGTTTGAAAAGTTTTCTCAAAAACTCGAATCCCAGAAAATGTTGCAAGCCACTCACTGCGTGCCGCATACTCGCTACCTGCTGTCGGATTCGAGAAAGAGACGCTTTGGATCTTTTTCGCTTCATTCGGTCCGATCCCACGAAGTATCTGAAAGTTTTTCTCTTCATTCTGTGAGCAAATTCTATTCTTGATATTCTCAGTATGCCTCAAAAATGAATCGGAAAAAAGGTAAGCCGAAACCTTGCTCGCTAGGGCAACATATGAACTTTATTTTTAGCTGTTGTCTGTCCAATGTGATTTCATTTTTTTTTCCCAAACTGTACTCTATTTATTTGCCTTGTTCTGACAATAAAGTGTCTTTACTTTTGACTTCCCTTGGAATTATCCACCAAACAGTTATTTGACAAACCTTGCGCCGTTAGAAGTGATATCGGCGTGAAGAGACCTGAGCCGAGGCTCATTTACTTCCGGGCTCAACATATTCAGAGCAATGTGTTGCTCACTACCATCTGCTCGGATAGCTACTCCTTCCTCGTTCTAAATCCAGTTTTAAACTTTCATTTCTATTCGACAATTGGTCAGAAAGCGAAATTAGATGCTCACATGCGGCTGAAGCATGAAAAAAGTTTGCACATGCTAATTGCATTGATTCTTTTCATAGTTGAAAGAGTGACAGTTAGGAGGAGTTAGAGACTTTCATGCCAAAAATCAAAAGAAATCATCAACCAACCCCAATTTCTGGATCTTCAATCTGAAATCGAACAGAACGGAAAAGTGTGAAGCTGTGCCAATTATATCAGATGTTAAAGGTGCGCAGAAATTTGAAATGACTAATTTAAAAAAATGTGTTAGGCGCCAGTTTGCGTGTTAGTGAGTAAGTCGTGTGTAACATGACAAAAAGTTATTGAAACCGAAAAAAAGTTGGATCCATGTAAACAAAGTCTGAAATTTTACCCTACGAAGAAAGAGTATTTTCAGATTCAGAAGAATTTGGTTTACGTTTAATTATCTAAATTTGAAGTGGGAATTCAGAAAACTAGTGTTTTAAAAATTGTTCTTCTATAAAAAAATAATAGTTATTTTTTTCATTGAAAAATAAAGTTGTATCGATTTTTTTCAAAGAGACTTTTGAAATTTAAAAAGTTTTTTTCAGTATACTGACTTGTTGCAGATTCCAGTCGTCGGCTGTAATATATTAAAATTTGAAAATAATGATCTTCAAAATTCAGCTTTCATTCGCACTATAGTTTGTGATGCAATAATTATATTACATCCTACAAGAGCAGGTTCAATTAACTCCAAAATCGGATCTCAATTTACATGGACACAAAAAAAAATAATGTTGGTGAGGCGGGCAAGCACAAGCAACATACAAGCGTAGCCACTTTGCGCACCAGGTCGTCGATGTCCCGAGCAGCGCCGAAAAGAGTCGAAAGCGCCGTGTCGACGATCAACGACGGCTGCGCGTCTCCTCGCAACATCTCCAGGTTCTTGGCGTAGTGGCATATCGTAAACTCTATCATTACTCCGAAAACGAACGCCTGAAACAGGAATGATTTCTTTCAACTGGATCATCTTTTTCACCATGCATGACCCCATCCACACGTCGATTGCTTTCATGTAGCTCACTGAAAATCTCGTCTCCATGATCTCCAGCAAAAAAAAAGCTCTAAACCTTCAGGCAAGGCTAGTTTGACGGCGTTCGCTTGAGTGGAAATCGTGAGCAAAGTGGTGATACTGAGAGACACTCGAGCTGGCGCCGAGTCAATCTCCAACCAGAAATTGAACCTGGAAATATTTTTTTTTGAGTTGACTAGTTTTGAAGATGTTCACCAAGAGATGACAACAATCAAGGCGGTCGGGACGTAGGTCTGCATCACGTGATGCATCATCTCACGTTCCACGTAGAATATTGCGGTCATACAGCTCCACGTTCCTATGGAAAAAAGTTGAGAAAATTGCTTCTTTGAGAAGATTAGGAAAATATTAAGAATATTCTGTGAAGATACAGTACCGTCTGAAAAAACTTGAAAAACGAAGTTTCGGTCACAACTTTCTTAAGGAATTCAATCTTTCTGAATCTTCCTGGAGTTGGGATGACTGCTAGTTTTAACACTCTGATGTAGTTTAAGAACATATGAAAGAAATCCCAGCTTCAGAAACTCCCAGGAAGATTTAATCCCTCACCAAAGTTGCATTTTCCCCTATATTTTCTGACGGTACTGTATAAAAAAATCTGGAGACCTGATATTCAATTTATATTAACAGCTACATTTTAATTTTCATATAGATTCCTTGAAATTAGAAGAGATATCTAGTAGATGAAATAAACTTAACATTTTTCTTTTATTTCACTTCATCTCATCACACACATTTCTGAGGATTACTGTAGAAAACTGGCCATTTTTGGTTAGAATTTTTCAAATTTTCCAGAATTCCCCCTTCGTACCAGTTGCATAGGTCCCATTGCAGTATCCCGTCCGGATGCTTTTCAAAGACATGTCTGGCATCGTAATGTCTGGATTTCGATCGATAGCTGGAACGTCGGGTTTTTCAGACCACAAGAGCCGCAACACTGTCATTGGATAGGCGTCTAGAAGTTACACTAGTAATTAGATTTCCGATTCGTCAGTACTAACAGGAAAGGATTCGAAGAGCACATTCCTGAGAATCGAGCGGATATTTCCACAAATCCATGTTGCAGGAGCTAACCTGAAATGAATTTCCTCATAGGGTGTTTCTGACTAATGCGAATGCAATTGATATCATATGAATCCAAAAACATGTTCTATAAAATCATAGACCTAGCATATCTGATGTTTTTTTTCAAAAATGGTTAGATCGGCGGAGAGCATTTCAAGCTTGAAAAGGGCTTCAAAAATATCAGAACGGTTTCCAAATGAGCCAATAACCGAAAAATGTACTTCCATCGACCAAAACACAATCAACTTACTATTGAAATTCTAGCATCGTACCATACACGTCCGTTAGGATATACCCATACAAGGAAATTGTCATCCGTTATGTCCTGAAAACCTTGTTTTTTGAGTAGAAAAGCTTAATATAACACAAGAAGCCTTCGGTTAAACTTTTGATGAAACTTGGTTGATTTATAAACTAAGATATAGTCTGTTTGCCACGACTTGAAATTTCACGGAACGACATTCCGCTGTTCCGTTGCGTGCGTCCGCGAAGCGTCTTTCGAATCTAGGCCGCGCTTTCGATTGATTGTTATTGCTGTGGGAGCACATGAAAGTAGGGTACCTTAATGAAAGAAAAAAAAATTGAAAGCGCGACCAAGGTTCGCAAAGGCGCGCAGCGGCACAGCGGAATGTCGTTTGGTAAAGTTCCAAGTCGCGGTACACAGGCTATACTTGGAATTAAACAAAAAGTTCCTCCACAAAGTTGCATTCAGTATTTTTTTTAAATCGAGTGCGATGCAGCAAAATTCCAAAAAAAGCTCAAATGAGGTCCAATTTTTCTCGGCTCAGCATTTAAGAATATACTATGGCTGAAAAGAACCTGAAATGAAGCTGATCTTGCGTTTGCAAAATACACATCTGGATGCCACATCATGTGGAAGACTTTCAAGTCTCTGACGAGAATCGGCGCCGTGTCGTTGTGAGCCAAACGATGATCGTACCATTCTTCTTGGAAATAGACGTCCAAGTGGTAGTCCATCGTTTGGGCGCCTATTCAACACAGTTCATCTTTTATTTTGATTTCAAGACACTTACTGAACGAACTCATGCCCTCGATGAACATCGACAAAGTCACGTTGGTCGGAATACCTTAAACAAAACATAGAATCTGAAAATTTTATCCAATCTATTTCTACAGTAACTAACATAAAGATAGACACAGGTTATTTTCAATTCACTCTTCACTTCTGGCAAACGTTTTGATGATTTTCGTCCGATTCAATACAGCTTTTCGTTCTTGTAGGTAGTAGATGCTGTCAAATAAGATATTTTACAGCTGTCTATCACGAAGAAGTTCTTTTCACTTGGTGGTTGTTCCAGACATTTTCGAATGCATTTAGACTTTTGAAAAAGAGCGTTCCAAGTTTAACTTTTCTGGACTGAAAAAACTTTTTTGACTTTGGTTCAGGAAAAATAGGAAGGTGGAGACTAAAATCTTCATCTCACGCGTCAAATAGTAACCACTTTTTGCAAAATCCCACACAGAGTGAAATGAGCTTCTTTGTAAGGTACCTGACAACGGAGGTCATTTTACTTTGCATTCGGGATTTTTCAGAAAACTGGTCTAAACGCTCCTAGATGTACCAGAAATAGTTTCTGAAAGACTCAACCTGCACAAATTCCTCGATTTGAGAAAAGCCGACTCGAAGTCAAAAAAAAAAACGATTAAATAGGCTATTTTGGGCTTTTGGCCCGTATTTATCGGAAACTAGAAAGTTGCGCAAGTTGATACTTTCAGAATCTTCATCTGGTACAACAAGGAGTGTTTGGGCAGATTTTCAGAGAATCCCCAACCGCAAATAAAATGATGTATATATATCTAATCAAGCTGTCTTGAACCGGCTGTAGGCAATACATTCACCAAGAAAGTGAATCAAAAATATCTGAAGTTATGATCCAACATAAATTAACATAGGCATATCTTTATGTTCGCTAATGTATCAACATTTACCGACTATTAGTAGACCGGTACAGCTACGAACTCTAGCAACAATTTTTTAATGAAGTGACTGAAGCGGTGGAGCAACATATAGCTTTCATATGAACGCAGTTGGTATGCTTTTATGAAGTGCACTCTAAGCCCATTGTGCCTGACTTTTCCATAAGAGCATGCTCCGTACCGGCATACTAACAGCTTGAATGAGTGGTAGTGGGTCTTGTGAATAAATGATTTTTTGCTTTTATTGTGAAGTCAGAACACTCTTGAGTTAGCTTCAGTAATCAAACTGGATAGTGCGGTGTTAACGCGAATTTGAAGCGTTACAAGTTCTGAGAAAATTACATCTCTGCAGCACTATTTGAACTAAAGCTATGCTGTTAGTGCCATCGAAAGAAAGCGGAGTAGGAAACGTTGGAAGACAGTGGCATGCGATGATAGAACAGATATAGAAAAGAGCAGAGTTAGAAGCGAAGTCACTCTCTGCATACCTTTTCCATGAACTCGTACGTATTCTAAAAATGCGGCAACGTTAGCACTGGAAATAATTATCGAAATAATAGGAATAGAAGCGTCTCTACCTAGGAAAAGCCGCCGACTTTTCCAACAGGGAGAACGGCAAAAGAGAAGCTACAAACACTGACAACACAGTGACTGAACTAGTCATCACCATTTATAAGTGGGGTCTGGGAATGTTAGGCGACTTAAAATTTTGAGACGGATTAAAAAGGTAATATCGAAGGATAAATATGAAATTTGTTCCTAAACCTCTAGCATCCATTTGTTTTTTTTACACCGCCATCTTCAATTTTGAAAAAGGAGAATATTGAAAACTGGGAAGAAAAGTAATGTTAAGATGATTTATCAAAGTACTTTGAGAGAGTTCAATTTTTAAAATTTTGGCGCAACAGCATTGTGAAGCGGTACTATAAGCGTAATTCGTTTGAGGTCGGTCAGAAGAATCTTGGATCTTCTCTTGAAAATAGTTTTTTTCAAGTTAAATAGTTCAGAAACGTTTTGTTGAAACTGTGGAATCAGTTTTTTTTTGGTAAATCTGTACGGAAGCCTATGTAGTATTCCAAATCGTAGTGGATTACGGGTTCTTATTATTAACTAATTCAGTTCCCCGAAAAGTCGTTGTTTTATACTTTTTTTCAAAAAAAGTAATTTTCTAGTTCTTATTTTCAAAAACCGTCTCAAGTTTCCAGCAAAAGAAAAATGTTCTTTGGAAGCTATTCCCAGTGTTTTTTCAACTAAAAAAATTTCAATAAAGCAAAGAGGAAAATTTTTTTTTATTTAAAAAAAAAAACCAAAAGACTGATTCATATTCGCGCTTGAAGTTGTATGGATTCTCATAAAAAAGACAGACAAATTTTTCTGAAGGGAAACCAGAAGGGGCTCATAAAAGTTTTTATAACTTTCCCAAAAGTTCAAGGCTTACCGTCGTACTGAGTCGGCGTGGCGAAACGATTGTAGATGGTTTCATTGCTGAGTTTGTCGAGAAACTCTTTAGTCAGCGGGATGAATGCCATGTCCGTGGCGGTGGTGGAGCGAGGCGGCGCGCACGCCAGCGCCGTCAGAATCGCCGTCAGCCACCGCATTGTTACCTCATTTTTTTCTAAATTTGTCTTATGGTGGAAAAAAAGGTTTTAACTTTCTATAGAAACGTTGAATTGAGGAGACATCTGAGTTTGAAAACTCAAAGAAAAATGAAAAAAATCGAAGTATGCGCTCAAAATCTTCGTGGTGAGAAGGTTTTAAGTACTTAAAAATGAATAACGAAAACGGTCCGCTACTTGAATGAAAAAAACGCGTGAAGGCAGAAAAAGCTCAAAAACGGTTCTCCTCGGATTTTTGAACCTTGCGAGGCTTCTAATAAATCTTAGACAAGCCTTATTGGATTCTCATAAAAAATGGGAGCTATCATACATTTATTTTTTTGGACGCGAAGCGAACGTCGTGCGATCAAAATGAGAATTTTAGGTGTGGGTGGGAGCCCGAAAAATGAACGAGTTATTGCTTTTCAGAAATGCCTCCGAGCACTTGAAGAAAGGAATTTGAAACCATGAAAAAACATGATCAAGTATGCAAACGATAGAAGCTAAATTTGAGAAGGAGAGACAGGAAAGAGTTTTTGAACAATAGAGAAATCCTTTGACTGAAAAAGTCAAAACATAATATGGGAAAATCTAAGAGTGAACAGATCATAAAAATCATAATTGGCATAGTTTTGTCAATTGAATTATCTGGAAGGAGGACATGTTTACGCACCTTCCCCCAAACCAGGAAGTCGTGTCAACTATTCGGAAGGTAGTCATGAACAAAAGGATAAGCCTTTTTGTTGTTTTTTCAAGCTTCACCTTCAAAAGGAGGTTTTTCCGACCTGATCATTGAAAATATACTTGAAAGTCTCATAAAGGACAGATAAAAATAGAAAGGTGGGTCAAGGACTATTTTCAAAAAATTCCAGACCATAAGGCCTTTGGAACTCTAGTAGTGTTTTGAATTATGAAGAAAACCAATATGTTGACGATTTCTCAAAAGTTTTAAGATTTCTTGAAATTTGGCCGGAAGCGGGATGGTCTAGAAAAACCCCTGCCAATATCAAGAAATTCAGAAACCAATTAAAAATAAATTTCCAATAGTTCTATGAGCCGGATTCCGGAAAGTTCTTGAGAATAAACGGATCCTTCGTTTTTTTCAAAATATCTTATTGAAGAATAAAAAAATGCGCGCAACCGTCATTATTCTGAAAAAGATAAATTATTTTAAAATTATATTTGAAAAATACTTGACCGATAAATCTGGTCAAGTATTTTCAATTGGTTTGATATACTCCTTGCGCAAAACTTTCGCTTTGAAAATCAAACACGGTTGCACAGTTTTGGTTTGAAGCTTGACTCCTTGTTAAACGCGATCTTTTAGGCGAAAACTACAGTAGTCTGGTTTTCCCTCAACAAGGATGAAAACTTAAACCTTTTTGAAACACGAAAAACTTTTCGAAACATTCTAATCTGAAAAAAACTACTACTTGCCGTCTGGAAGCTTCTGATTTGTCGGCTCTCTTATCCCTAGCACACGCTATTTGTAATTGGTTTCAATGCAATTTCCGACCTTATAATCCTTCCTTCCTCTTTCATTTACGCGATTTCACTGCAAATGTGAGAGCTGTCCTCAAAGTTCTCTATAAATCCTCAAAAAACAGATGTCTGGTTTTTCCTTTTTCTACGAATCTTTTAATTTCAAAAAAGATTTTTTCTCGGCATACGGTGAGTAGTCCATACGTAATGCGTACGGTGTGTAATCCCTACCTTATATGAGGTAATTGTGTAGTAGTCATAGATGATTTGTATCAAGGAAAACTAAAAATAAATAATGAAATCACAGGCTTTTGAAAATAGGACGTCTGAGAATATTAATGTTCAAAAATTGAAGGTGTCTCTCCTCAAAAAGATGTTCGATCCTGAAATAAAAAAGACAAAAAAAGGTGTTGAGAAATGTAAAAGTCACATTGTGCAATGAAAAAATAGACCTTCCAATAGAAAAATCGGAGTCAAGAGGAACCAGATGGTCTGCTACGACGCAAACCGGGTGCTTCTGGAATTTTTCTTATTGCATGAAGAAAATATGTGCTCAAAAGCAGAGAAAAAACTTTTTTATGATACGTAGTCAGAAATTTTGAAAAAATGTCTGAAATCTTACAAGTTGAAAAGAAAGAAATTCCATGGCGATTAATTCGATCATGGTTTTGGGCAGAACAGAATTGAATGAAAAATTCAAAACCCTCCAAAGATTCAAGTCCTTTCCAGTTGGAGAATTATTGGGGATCTGAAAAAGATGTAGGAAAGTTAAAGTGTGGAGTATTTAGAATCAGGATCAAGGTATACCGCAAAAAAAGAACACTTTTTTTTCATGACAAATTCTCATTTTCTTTTCGACAAAATAAGGAAACGTTTAATCTGAAAAAGGCCTTGAAAGGAAGTTCTCGATAGAGAAAGAGCCGTCTAAAACAAGACAGACGTCATGTAAACAATCGCTTTCTTCTGTCTTTCTTTTTTTTTGCATAATGCGAAAAAGCGAACCAGTGCCGGCCTATCGGAATTCCTTCTGAGGATATTCTCTCTCTTCATTGTTGGATATAATTGACTTAATAGGGAATTAGAGCAAGGCACAAGAAAGACACATGCTAAGATGAGCGAATCGCGATAAGTTCTAGCTTGCTTTGGGTTGCGTTGGAAACAAAAACCAAAAAAAAAAAAACGCAATGAGATGGTCTCAGAGAGGCGGCAGGGGAAAAAACAGATTATTCCCCTCATTTTTGTACCTCCTACAACGATGTCAAATGAGAAGCAGATAAGTTATTGCAGCAATTTCGTGCGGTTGGATTGAACAATAATTGCGGCTGGCCTGCCTTCTGAGCTTCAAAATAAATTCAAGAAAACATGAATTGAAGATTCTCTGTTTTATTGCAAACAATAGGAGGAGAAAATGAAAAAAATGTCGTCACTCTCTGGTAAAAGTGAATTTTTTTTTTGAGAAACTGTCTTTTTTTCAATTTCAACGCCTTGGCGATTTTCTATTGCCCTTGAAACGCGTGAAAATTTTTTTGAGGGAATCAGAACCTGTATATAAATTTCAAAAAAACAATGGTAATTTTGATTCATTAAAATTTCGAGTCTTAATAGACAAATGGTCTTAAAAGTTCAATTTTTGTTTGAAAAGGGTGTGAATTCAAACTGAAGATGATAACCTTAAAAGACCGAGTTTTTATTAAGAAGGTGTTCAAGGTAATGAGAAAAAATTGATCGATGAGTTCGAAAAACATAATCACGCTGACCTGGAAAATGGTTAGTTTCTCTGAAATTGACTATTTTTTTGGAGCTGGAAAACAAAACGTTGAAAAAGGAAAATTTTGGGTATTCATTAGATGATTTTACAAACCGTAAGAAACTTCTTGAAAGTTCATTGAAAGCTTTCTCTTTCGCTCTGGAATGAAAAAATACGGAAAAACTGTACTTCCGACTCTTGTGTATGATTCCAATTTCAATTCTTCTACTAAACTTAGAAGGGACAAATTTGCATGAAGGAACTCCGATTTCAAACAATTAGCTAGGATCTTAAACCGATCGAATCCCAACTCTGGGCTTAAGGAAGTAAAACAGCCCATAAACAAACCTCAAAATAAGCAAGAAAGTACACAAGCAACAAAAAAACGTCTTCCGAAGGAGCCACGTGCATTCGCTTACTATGCAAATTTTCTGCGCACATGATTTTGGGCAAAGTCAAGTTTCGTACTTTTGCAACTTGGAGTAGCACAAGAGCAGCTCCTGAAATAACAATAAACGGAAAAGCTCAGACATCGTGCCGAAAGGGTCGGTTGAAGAAGACGAATTCCGTAAGAGTCCTCGATATTCGGGGGCGCATACTTCAAGCTTTTTTTGTTCCAATGAACTTCACCGCTGACGTTCTATTAACAGCGCAATTCAGAGAAGAGCCGTGGCCCATCAAAGAGAATGGGACGATTTTTAGAAGCCAAAAAATGAGTTCACGTCGGAGTTTCAAGCAGTTCAGACCAAAAATAGCGTTGGGAGATCAATAAATTTTGTGAGCATGTGATTTTTTAAATTTTCATTATCTTAAAAATTCTAATAATTCTCACAAACATTAAAAAATATTAAGCGCTTTTCATTGAAACTTTTCATCATACTGATGCTTCTACAGTACCGTCAGGAAAGATACGAAAAAAACGGGGTTTTGGTCAGAACTCTCTTGTAAGCAATTCAATCTTTCTGAAACTTTTTGAGGTTTGAATGACTGCTATTTTTAACGCTCTGAGGAAGTTTCAGCTCACGGAAAGAAAAACACAGATTCAGAAACGATCGGAAAGATTGAATTCTTATGAGAAAGTTGTGACCGAAATCCCTTTTTTGGTATCTTTTCTGGCGGTACTGTATATGAAAGGATTAGTAGAGAATTTCAAAAAAAAAATTTGAGAAGAACTTAAGGATCATCATAGGATAATCAGAACCTAACTGAATATACAAAAGAAAAATGATAAGAAAATAAATAATCGAAGAATTTTTGAAACTTTTAATGACTCCTATCTTGCTGAATGACGTCCAGAGTCTTCACGCAAACCAAAAATTCAAAGTTTTTAGAAAACTTTTGAAATGGGAGTGTGTTATTTATTACCCAAAAAATTTACTCAAAACTCAGAAGAAAAATTTGGAAAACTTTAAGGTCCTGGAAATGCGCTCGATCGAACTGCGCAATCATCATTTTATTACTTTTCATCTCAGAGCCGGAGGCTTCTCGGAAAATACTTTCATCTCTGTTTATTATCCTTGCTTTCCACATTCCGCCATATACTACTGGTCGTAATTCAAACCGACGATTCCACTGAGAAAGAAAATTCAAATGAAGGTTTTCTATGAGTCGCGACGCTGTTTGCAATTCAAGCAGGCCGATTTTTTTTTCTTGGAAGGGCATTTTTACGCGAAATAATTTGATAGTGTCAAGATGTTTTCAGCTGTTGGAACGGCTTAGATTATGATTAATTTAAAAACTTCAAGGTGCTCGAAAGGGGAATAAATGGAGCCGAACTGCCAAAAAGGCAAAGGTTCCTCCAAGAAATATGGTTTTCACTGCATGGAAGCTTCCTCCAATTTTTTCCAAGAAGAAATAAATCACTGATTCAAAACTTATTCAGAAGACAACTGGAAATGCACATCCACGAAGTCCATGCGTGGCTGGAGGCTCACTCTTTCTACTCAGCTCAGTCGCTCAATTTCAGCGCTTTTCTCCTACATAAAATGGAAGAATCTCTACCGAAAATAACTATTTCCGTGGGAGCCTGTTGAAATTAAATGCTGAAACAAGGAAAAATGCCCACAGCTGCCCTTGCATCTCAGAGGGTTCAAACATTGTTTATGCATTCATCGAAGCAAGTTGTCCACACCGGCCATGCCAGACTATACACTAGAAGTGGAATTCATACGGAAACAGTCGAGTATGCTGAGCTGCATCTTTTTTCCTAGTTGTCTAGGCTCCGACCAAAAATGGCTAGAACTTCGTCCACCAGTCCAATGAGCAAACAATTAAACTCCGAATCGTTTGAAACGAGGATAGGCAAAGAAATGTGAGTTGAGCAACGGGGTTACTCTAACAACTGAATTCAAAACTGACACGGATGGAAAAGTTCAGGATATCGCGGCTCGAGCACGAGCACCCGGAAATTAGATGGGCTCTGGTTTTGCTTCGTTTTTTTTTTCCTCTTCACTTTGCTGTCCATTTCTTAGATTTGGGAAACCCATTTTATTGGCTGCGCACTTGTGAAAGTGAACACATCTTTCTTTCCATCCGTTCGGCCGGAAAATAAACATCTCATTAAACGGCTTTCACGAGCTATTACAACTTTAGCTTCGATCATAAAGCCTCCAGATATCATTGAAAGAAAGAAAAACACAGCAAGACGTTGTGAGTCGAATGGAACGAGAAAGATGGGGCTTTGGAAAAAAGAGGAAGTGCACAAAAAAATAGAATGAGAAACATGTTTCAGTGCATTTTAAATAACCAGGAAGGTCATTTTATCTTGACCTAGCGTTCGGGAGAATCAAAAAATCGGCCGAAACGTGTTTTCAACTAAACTCAGAGCACATGCAAAAAAAGAACTTTCTTTCTGATGGTTGTCTGATTGTTAGCGTTGTAACTAACAGGATCCTAATATGAACGTCATTCAAATTTAAAAAAATCTTCTACAAGAGGAATACGTTACTCCGGGGTGCTTTATGAGGTTGAAAAATTATTCGTAAAAAATCGACCTTTGTTTCTTAAGAGACACAGTGTAAACTGCTCAAAATTCAGGTCTTCAATTACTTCAGAAAAAGTTGGCGTTCGGGAAAAAAGTTCCTCTCCATATAAAACGTATAGTACGGGAAAAAAAGAGAAAAAAAAATTCAATAAAAAGGAATGAAAGCTGAGTTTGTTTCCTATTGAGTACCTAGTCGATTACTTTGTTCGATTCCATGAAAAAAGACATCAATATCTGAAATTCAGCATTCAGGATTAAAATTTCTTTGAAAGTCTTGATCAAGAGCTTCAGATTGTCAGGAAGATCTTTCAATTTGGAAAGCAAAAATTTAAAAAAAGGTTGGAAGGTCGGACTCTGAGTTACGCTTATACATCTGCAAAGGTCATAACTTGAAGATCAAAAACTTTGCACAGGTCTCACCAGAAAAAAACGTGCCTGTAGGTAACAGCAGAATCGGAAAATACTGGAAAGAAAAAATACTGGAAAGAAAGGAAAATCAAAAAATAATAGGAAGAACCTTGCTTTATGAAGAAAAGTCAAAAAAAAAGCAATCAAAAATGCAGAGGAAATAGGGATAAGATCGGAAAAACAAAATAAAAACGTAGAAAGAAAAGGATTGAAAAGAAGAGAACACAACTGAAATCGTGTGAAACGAAATGGCAATCCGAGATGGTCCCACACACGCACAATGAAGTAACATGATTGGCAAATCTGCACAAAACCTGCAGGTCGAATTGCTTTTCGTTTTTTGGTCGCCTTCAAAAAAAAAGGTAGAATAGAGTTGCCAAGCCGACGTTTCAGGCCAAAGAGTGTGCGGCTCTTCCAGGTACTCGGAAAAAACTCATCTTCAGCCAAGCATACCGTAGTGGGGCGCATCGTCACTTGCCTTTGGTTTTAAGGCTTTTGTTTCAGGAACAATGAAACAGGTGACAACACCTCACAGAAGCCTCGCATCACTAGTCAGCTTCGAAATAACTCAGTTTCAAGTCGTCGGAGCGTACGGAAAGAAAAAAAAACCGCTTTGCAACCCGAGGTTCTTCCTCAAAAACAATGAAAATTGGTTGGTCGTCCGGAAGTCTTCGAAAACTTGGGTTGCGCATGGAATATTGGGGCTGACAGCGTGGAAATCGTATTGTTTGGTGAATCAATTTATGAAATGGTTTGAAGATTTGACTCTGAATTTTGAGCTTTTTCTCAAGAAAAATGAAGTGACAAAACTAGGGAAACCTTACCGAAAAAGTGATTACTACTTTTATGATTGAAATCGCACATTCCGAACGCTAAAAGAATTCAAAAAATCAAAAATTGACTAATTATTGATTTTTCTGTAAAACAACACGAATCAAAAAAGTTCATTTCGTATGTTGGGGTCTCTTTCGAAAATTAAACTTAAAGATAAAAAAGGAAAAGAGTGGAAATCTTAAACTTGTTGTCTGTGACGTGAAAAAAGCCAATTCTTTCCCCACAAAAAGGTCGATCATACGGTATAGGTTTGTAGAACGATACAAAATAGGCTGAGTGTGACAGGCTATAAAATGATTTCAGCGTAACGGAACTTTGAAGCCAAGCACTTCTCCAGCTTTCTCAACAAGGGATACATATTTTTTATAGTTTTGAAACTTTGGCTAGGATTTGGACGATTCGTTGATATAGTGGAGGAAATTCTTCAAAATTCAAAACGCTTCTACTAACCGCAAGGAGCACTCCAAAAAGCATTCAGAAGACCAAAGGATCAAAAAGTCCAAAGAGGTCATTTTGCTTATTCGGGAGACAAAGGGAAGAAAACTTTTTTCGCGATGTTTATAGAAAAAAGAGCAAGTTAATCCATCTCGCAAAGACAACTGTTTTGATTGGCCACGGCAAGTCGATATCCTGCGTAATCAAAGGCGGCAGCTGCTCGAAATTCAACGAGGCTCTCCATCAAACGATGATTAACCTCTTTCCCAGACCTCCAGTTCAAAAATAAACTCTTTTTTCATTCTTATATACATCAGAGCGACAAACATGAGCAATACAGCGAAATACGTGAGAAAATGTATAGCACGAGAAACGGGAAAGTTGTGGAATTATTGAAACTTTCTTTTTCCAACTCCTTTTTTAGGATAGCAAAGGAGTTATATGACAATTCAAGATAAAATAATAAAAAGTTTTTCACATAAGAGTGTCGTATATTTTGTTAGGGGATGTGTTTGGCGGGGGTACGGTATGGACCTGGTACGCAGGACGCACAAATGCGGACGGTCTGAGAACTGGCGGATTTCTGGAAAGTTTTGAATTTTTGATTCGGTTGGTTTATTGGAAACAAGGCTCGAAATTTTTTTTCTTAACTCTTCTCACAGAAAAAAGTTAAAATATCGTTTTCTATGCAGATTTATGTCATTTTCGGTGATGTTTTTTTTTGATTTTTTTTACGTTAAATTAAAGTTCAACCCGTGAGTTTTCTAGCTCATATTATCCTTCACAGGATTGTAGATGTTCAGCGTGATTCTTGAAAAAAGTTGAAATAAAATTTCTACCTTTCCACAAACTGCTTTTTCTTCGCTTGCTCGTTTTCCCTCTTGAGTTGATCGATGATTTGAGTTTTCTCGGCCAGTTCCTGAAGAAAAATCTTCATCATAATGATAATTGACTTTTCCGAACTTGATTCAATCGTCGATTTTGACGGTGCAGCCAAGCAAGTTGGTCGCCGTTCGCCGAAACGGCTGTCGATGGCTGTAAGAGAAAAAAATCAATTTCATAAAAAAAAAATCATATTCAGAGTATTTAAATTAGATATTTGAAACAGTAAACTCAGATTTTAGTGTGGTTCGTTGACTCAAGGGCTGAAATCGTATGAATTTCGACAACTCGAACCTGCTCAAAAACGCTGTTTTTTTGCATTTGAAAAAGGCTCATTATGCGGCTGAAACGTCGAAATTCTAATTTACATTCAGCAGCTTTTCATATTTCCGTCAAAAAAAGCTTTGGAAGAATAAAAAAGAACTTTGATAATTTAAAAAGCAACTTTCGTTTTGTCATGTAAATTAAAGAACTTTTTTTCTTTGACATGGGAGGTCATTTCACTTTGCAGTTGGAAGATTCCTGAAAAATGGCCAGAACACTTGTAGATGTATCAGAAGTAGATTTTGAAAGCCTCAACCTGTAAAACTTCCTAGTTTTCGAGTAATAAGGGCTAAAAACCTCAAAATGGCTTTTTTGACTGATTTTAAAGGTTTTGTTTGGCTTTGAGCCCTCCGTTCTCGAAAACGAGGAAGTTGTGCAAGTTGAGACTCTCAGAATCTTTTTCTGGTACATCAAGAACCGTTCTGACCATCTTTCAGGAGAATCTCAACCGCAAAGAAATGACTTGTGAGGTGCTCCTGGTTTCAGTAATTATTCCAAAACCTTGAAACTCCGGTTTCCAATCCTTTCGAGTCCATTTTTTAAAGTGTTTCTCTGTTTCAAATTATTCTGTCGACTTTCATTCTCTCTTTTCCATTATCTTTTCATTTCAGATCTTACAGGAATGGAATGATGAGTTGGGAATCCTTTATCACTCGTATCCATCAGAGCGACTATTCTTCGATTGAGTTCCGTGGTGTGCGCTCTGAGAAAGTTGAGTTTTTGCTCGTGAACAGCGGGGTCCTGAAACGAAAATTTCCTGATTATTTTTTTCTCTTGATGCTTCATTCACATTGAAAGCGAAACGATTGGATTTGAGGAAGGCAGCGATTGCAAACAAAGGCTACAACATGCATTTGTAGTTGACAGCACGTTACACGATTCTACGAAAAAAACAGATACTGTATCCGATACCTTTTCTCACTACAAATTTTGTGTTTTTTTTATGTTTCTGCTGACTGAAGCGTGGGCTGAACGATTTTTTTTTGCTTTACCGTAGTTTCCCGACCAGGAACTCCACGATCTTATTCAGCCACGTCAGCGTGTACTATTGAAGATTTACTTCTTGAATAAATTTTTCGGATGGATTTGGGAACATACAGTGTTATTGATGACTATCATCTTTGCTTTGAAAGCCTTCTTATTGAATCGATTTCTGTCCCAGTAGAAAGAAGTTGTGGCTACTAGGATTCATGAAGTTAGAGTAGTTATAACACTGTTGAAGGAAGTTGACCGAAAATCAAAATATCCAAGTTCTTTGAAAAAGTAAACTGTTCTAGTTTTCAAAGTTCTAAAACTTGGTAATCAGTTCTACTGACATTAAGGTTGTGAGAATATTTTTGAAAATAAGCTTCCAACTATTCTCACCAATGCAACGATGCCTTGTTGGAGAAGACGTGCTTTCTTCTGAATTGAAAGCAGTCGTTCTTTATACCACTCCAAAAGCTTTCCAGCTTGATCCTGTCCTCTCTTCAAAATTTCGCCTTCCTCCGATTGAAAATATTCAAGTCGAGCCTGAAACATGCATTTCGACCAATTTTATTGTTCTTTTTTGCGTTATTTGCTTAGCAACTGGCGATTATTCCTGAGTATTCAAAAGGAAAATCCTCTTCCGAAATCGAGTCCTCTTTTTTGAAGCTTATTCAACCAAAAAAAAGAGCACTTTTATCCACGTATTTCGAGCCAAATTTCTCGGTACAGATGTGAACTTTTTTGAAAAATAATCCCATAAGTCATTAGGTTTTCCCAAAAGTTTGACTGAGGTTACTGCGTCTGCTGAACAATAAATTTGGCGCAAAAAGTGCAAAGCACGTCAGAGTTTACTTTTCACAGTTTCATAGCTTGAATCTAAAAAAATGAATTTAAGTAAGTGATTCACTGAATTCAAAAAGATGAAGAAAATAAAAAAAACCTTAATAAACCTATAGCCCTCTGATTCCAATCCACAGGCTACCGAAATATGTTCCTGATTGATCTTTTCATGATAACGATAGATAAGTTCTCAAACATCCTTTTGAATATTACCTTTTTTCTCCCAAGTATAATTCTTGATTAAAAGAACAAAAAAGGTTCTCTGAACATCCAATATTGTTTCCCTCCTACGCTTATCACCTGCCTCTCCACAGAAAAACTCTTCTCCACTACCTTCATCCCATGTGAGTTACCACAAATTTCTGTAGGCGTGACCATCGTCTCCAATATCTTTTTGTTTCTCGCAGCTCCGCCCAAGAATTCGAGCCGTATTAAAGCAAAGGGGCGTGAGCAAAACGTATTTTTCAGTCTGGCGGCTTTTAGCCTGCGGATAGATGAAGAGCCTTCCGATTGTCTTCTTTCTACTTTCTGTTGGGGCCTACGCCGTAGAAGTGATTCCGGATGAACACCCGGTAAGTTGTGAGTTTCTTATTAGAATTTCCGGCGTGTCCAGGAATACCAGCCAGTGGAACTGGCTCGAGAGTTCTTTGTAGTCCGACCACCATCCGAAGCTCCTCCCGTGGAAGCGTCCGAAGAAGGGGACGCTGATGAAGAATGGAAGTCGGAGCAGAACTATGCTGAATCCAGCATGGGAAAAAGGAGCATCGCCCTAGGTCGCACCGGCTTCAGGTGTTTTTTATTCCCAATCCTCGCTTATACTGATTTTCTCAGACCTGGAAAACGCTCTGCCGAGTTAATGACCTTGCAAAATGCCATAGGCTATCAGTAAGCTAAATTAGGTCCGTTCAGCTGAGTCAAATGATATTCTAGGCTCGGCAAACGATCCATGGCTATTGGCCGTCTTGGACTGCGCCCAGGCAAGCGTTCGATGGACTTGCAAGTGTAAGAATCGAGAAAATTCACAATTACAAGTATCATTGAATTGAAGCCCGATGAAAAGGTCCATGGCATACGGTAGGCAAGGATTCCGACCAGGAAAGCGGAGCGCCTCGCCCACAGCCAAGTAGAGGAAATTATGTTAATACTAATTTTTTTCATTTTCAGCTATCGGCCGGCAATGATACTTTTCTAGGCGAAGTCGACGTAACCAATGAAATACTAATGTTATGTCATTGCATTGCTATAAAGATTTTGAAATCAGTTAAATATTGTGGATTCTGTTGTTACTGAAACAAAAGGAAGAAGGAAACTGACAACGCGGGGAGAGTCTTCTTCGTCGTAATAAGTGTTCCTCCTTGTGTCGGTGGTGCCGTTGGAAATCGTTGAGTTTCTCCAAGCAATATTTTCCAAGCCAGAAGAAGCTAAACATAAAATGGGATGAAGTTTTCTCATTGGACTGTACCAATGCTGTTATAAGAAGCAGTGCTGTGAGGCCTGTTACGGACTACCTGAAACTTCAAAAAGGCCTCAAAAACTAGAAAAAAAGGTTACTTGAACTCTTTGGACGTTATTTGGGGACTGCTGTGATCTCAACCGCGCATCTTCTTTTGCTGATCGAACTGTAGTGGGCTGAAAATCAAAAAATAAAGTTTCATTATAATTTGGGAAGTTCACCTTCCTGCTCCTCAGAACGACAACAGGGGGCTCAAAAACTTGTGAATAGTTGGGCGGCGGGTATTTTTCATTCGGAATTATCTGAATAAAATGAATAAAGAAAAAAAAAAGACGAAACTAACATTTGGCTGGGAACCGTAGTGCCCCGGTTGGGATCGGTAATCATTCAGAGTTGGTTGACTGGAGTAGTTCTGACTCCTTCTGAATCCGTTGATTCCCATCGAGGGAGGATGCATTTTTTTTCTGAAAATCGCATTGAGAAAAAATTTCTTTCAGATCCAACTTTTCTATTGGCAGGTTCACTGTTTTTCTGAAGCTCGATTTGGATTTTGTTTGGCGTGGTACTACAACTGCGTTATTGGAACGTCAAAAAACGTCACGTATTGCCTGCGAAAATTTGAAAATAACGGAATTTCATTCAGTGAGTATATAAATCGTATTCAAAAAGAGGATATCACAAAATGGAGTGAAAATTGGTATTAATGATGGATAAACTGGTGGACAAATAATGTTATCTTGGTGTTTCGATTTCGAGCTTATATCACTATACAAGCATGGAATTATTCAAAAATGCCTTTGCTGGAAGAAAATTGAAACTTTCTGCGCATATTTTCCTCAAAATTTTTACTTGTCACAATAAATAAATGGCCTAATTTCCTAGTCTTATAAAACTCTTAATCAGTTTCCAAAACAGCAATCGAATTTTCTTTTGGAACGAGAAATATTCAATACTCAATATAGACCGTCAAGGACCTATTCAAATGTCAAAATGACTCACAAAAAGGTTATCAGCTCAAAAAGGCGAGAAAGTTTCTCGGCGAAAACTAAACAGAAAAGAAACTGGCAAGCTGCAAAAGTTGTCTGCGGCCAGTCACGACCCTTTCAAAGGCAAAGGAAGCTTTGCAAAAAGGTCGGACAACTGGATTACCATACGCGGACGCTTAATCTACGCTCTAAGAGGGGCCGCCAACACAGAAAACGAGGCTTTGTTTCCAAAAATGAATTGAAAAACGGGAGATTGTGGGAGCAGCCGCATGCCACTGATAACCCTATCACAAACGAATTGTTCCTCGATTCAACGCACAAAAGCTGAATGGAAAATTTTGATGTCATTTGAAGTTATCAAGTGCTCACGAGAAGGAAAAAAAAGCTCCTTGAAGGGGATTTTCTCGAATATTTCAGAACTTTTTTGAAGTCTTTTGGTTTCCTATAAAAAGAAATCTTAAAGTTTTTTTGCTTACTTGTCCATAAATGAAAAAAAAACTGAATTAAAGAAAGTATTACGAGTATTTATTTAGAAAAATGCTTTCATGGTGATTTTTTTAAAGATTCCCCTAACGAACAAAAAAAAAATTTTTTTTCAAAAGACTTCTAAAAGGCCCTTTTTTGGAAACCTAAACGAGAATTGAATGAATTTTATTCCTCATTGGTAAAAAAAAACAGTTTCAGAACGTTCAACTGTTTATATCGGAGAAACGGAACATGCTTCAAAACGAAAAATCGTGTACATTGGCGCGCCAAAACAGTACTAATTTCTGTTTTAGAGCAATTTTTGTGTTTCAAAACAATTTTCGCTTTGTTGGAAGAAGAAACCACTAGAGAAATTTTAAGAACCCTTCTATTTCGAAAAAAATAATTCTAGCACATGTCCTCAAGACTCAGTCCAAAAGTTGTTACAGACACGTCAAAAACGTCTGAGGAATGCGTAATTCGTTGCAAAACTAGGAGACTGAGAACGTACAAATAGGGGCGAATGACTAAACCTCTAAACAAATACCCACAAAAGCGCTGAGAATGTGTTAGGCGGAGCGGTAGAAAGGCTTGTGGGAAGGATCGTCCCAAGTTTTGCCTCAATTTGCGGCGACGCCAGGAGGATCCCAGCGCCTTAACGTCTATCTTAATGCTTATTGCTGCGTTTAATGCTTTGAGAAGTCGCTTGAGAGATGAAAGTTGGAAGAGAGGAGAAGGAATGATTAGCGGTGTGGGAATGAATTCGTGAAATACCGGCAAATCGACCAAATGAAGTAGAATAAAGTTTTGAGAACAGTTTCTATGTAATTAGACTTTCCTTTAAGGCAAAGTGCAATATTTCACTTTTGATTAAAATTTTGGAAACTCTTCCTGCATATCTCTCTTTAATAAAAGACAGAAAACAAAATTTTACTTTTGTTTCAAACTTTCAAATTTTAAAAAGCTTTCCCCAATTATCTCTCTTTAGACTAATCAATAAAGGCTTGGGAAAAATTTTTTTAAATTCTATAAATATCATTCCCAGACTTTTTCTGATTTTATCGAAACAATCGTGAATCACGCGTTCCAATTTAACAACGAGGATAAGGTGGGAAAAATTCTGAATTGTTCGCCTGAAGTTTGAAAAGGATAAAAAAACCGAAAGGTCGAGCATTTCTAACTGATAAGCGCAGGAAATTTTTGCCTACAACTTTATTTTTACAAGAAAAAAATGACTCGACAAAAGAAAAAAAAAGTTGATTTTCACAGTACCTAACCGTTACAGGCTTCTGTATTATCATATAAAATAATAGTTCTAATAAAATTTCCAACTTCATCATGAAGTAAAAAATAATAAAGGTTAAAAAGGAAAAGTCATAAAGTTGACTTATTTGCTCTGAACCCAGCAATTTCGAAAAAAAAAAAATAGTGCGTTTGGTCAGTTTTTTTGCCAAAAATAGGAATCAGAAGCCATAATTTGGAACTTCCCACCGTTCGGAAAAGTTAAATTGAAGAATTTTTTCATTGAGATTGAAGAAATAGAGCTAAAACCAGAATGTTACAGCCACGGGGGATTTTTGGATAAAAAGTTTACTGAAAAAAATTTTTGCCTCAAAAAAATTAAGAATAGATCTCTGATATTCCAGTAGAAAAAATTCAAATAAAAATGAAGTTTGGATTCCATTGCTATCAAACAAGAAGAAATTAAAAACTAATAAAAAAAAACTTAGTTCCGTAGGAATCAAGTTGAAAGAAAATCGGAAGCATTCTTTCATTCAAAAAAATGAAAAGCTATTGGAAAAGGCAAATCGGAATGTTGTCTCCGACGGTCACAACACTTGATGTAATGCATCCCGTTCCATAAATGGACTCTCTTTTCGGGCGAAGGATCGTTTCCCCGCCGCACTTACAGATCAAAACGGTCGTGTTTCTCACACTCGATTTCAGACCACTACGGGCTATTTGGTGTTTTTTTCCTTGTTTCCATAAAGCAATGCCAATATAGAGCGTGTTCTACGGAGCAGCTGGTCCGCGACACAATTAACGCGCCGGGAATGGGTAATTATGCATGAAACGGCGGCGTCTTTTCAAGCAGTTATCAAGGTGAAAAAATGAACGAGAATAAGACAGTTATGAGGTTGGATTGGGTTGAAAAAGAAAGGAGTTAGCGAGAAAATATATCCTTCCAGGCTAATTTCAAATCAAGAAATGATAATCAACAACGCAATGAAAAAAGTTTCGGTACCTTATTCCAAAAAAAAATATTGGTTGATCAAAATCAAACTCTATTTGAGAAGTTCGATAATCAGCCGCCGAGACCGACTTTTTTCAAAGACGAGTGGAACAACTTCAAATCCCTCATAACCCACTTACTTGTTAGGAATTTTAGAGTGCCAATATAGGAGTCGAAAAACTGGTCTATTCGGGGGTAAAAAAAAAAACTGGAAAAACCCTATAGGGGCCACTTTTGCAAGCTTTAGTGGCCCTATAGCGGTTATTAAAATGGAGCCCCTATAGGGACCACTCTGGAGCTCCTAACCAAATTGTTCTTTTATAAATTGGAATAAAAACAGAAAGCTTAAAAAAAAGGTCACTGACCGTCGAAAAACGTTCAGAATTTTACCTTCCTGGTGAGATTTACCTGTTGAAAAATGGGAAAAAAATCAAGAAAAAAGGAGGTTAAGTAAACGAATTGGTTGGAGATCAGAACGAGGTGGGTAGGAGATGTTTTGCTCGCCTCTTGAAAACTGCGCGCCAAACGGACCATGGACAGAATGGGACGGAACTGCCACCGTCCTAAGAACAACAATAAACACGTTGACTCTGAATCGAGGGGTATTAACAATACGCCAGAAAAGCTTCTGGTGGATGAATAAACAGAGGCGAAACTTTTATGGCTTCAAATTGCAGTAGTTCGTGAAAGGGCTAACATTAACTAAAAAGCAGGCTGGAAAAGTTTTGCTCGGTGAGGGACTGTTTGGATTTCAGAAAGCCTTTTATTTGTTGAATACAGCTCGGCAGGAAAAAATTAGCTTTTTTTTTTTGGAAAAGTTCGGTAAGTCCAGAAAAAGCTCAAAATTGAGAATTCAAATCAAAAAGCTATACAGAGTTAGAAAATCTTTTTTATTTGCACCAAGGCAGAAATTTTCCTAAATCTATTTTTATGATTGGTGACTAAGCCTTTTTTGAATTTGAACCAAAAATCAGTGAATAATCGATGAAGAAAAAGAGGAAAAAAGAGAGAAGTTCTCGAGGGGAGAAAATGAAATAATGGTAGTATTGCGAGTCTAAAAAACGCGGCGCAAACTCGGACGATTATCATGGAGCGCGAATGTCTTACACGCATAATTTATTCGTCTTTTTCAACGTGGCTCGGGATTTTATATTTTTTTTCAGTTTTCTCATAGCGATTTTCCTAAATTTCGTTACAAAATTGTGTTCAAGATCTGAAGCAGATACCACGACTTCTCAAGTTTTTTTATGCAGTTACTGATGTTTGTAAACGAAGTGAATGAACCAAAAGTTCACTAAAAAAAAAGAACAGCGTGTGGGAGATTCAAAAACTTTTTGAGTACTTTTCAAAAATTCTCGCTGGCTCTTGAAAAAGGCCGTAAACTCATGCAAACTTCCGCGAGCTTAAAATTTTTTTTAGATCCTTATGCGGTAAAGAGTCTAGCGTTTTTGTAACTCGAAAAGATGAAAAAATCATAATTTGCGTCATCAAGAAGAGATCATTATTTGGAGCAAAGTTCAGTAACGGAGTTCCAAATTCTCTCAGATTACTGTAAGTTCTTAAATCAGAGATTTTTTCACTGCTCAAGTCGGGTCGGAATTGCGAAAAATGAGCGCAAAACTGGAAGTGGATGCAAAATGGCTGCTGAAAGGGTTCCTTTTGCAGCATTTATCAAGCCTTTCTTTCTTGGTATGGTAAAAAATCTCAAAAAGGGTGAAAAAATTGAAAGGCCGCAAAAGAGATTGAACACATTTCTTTTTCATACAAAGTCACTGGTAAAGATTATGATCAATTTAAAAAATTTTGTCTTCTCAAAGGATCCGAAAAAAGTAGATGAAGGCCGATGAAAGGACGGAAAAAGACAGTGAAAAGGAAACCGTTGCCACTCGTTTAGGAACAATTCTTGGAAACCTCTTAATCCATTACGAACATTCAAAAGCTCCGTAAAGAGTCCTTCCGACTTTGCCTTTGTGAAACAATCGTTTTAGAAAAGATAGGGCAAAAAAAGGAAGAAATTACGGTCAAGCGCTTAATCAAGCCCTGACAAAGGATATGTCACGACTCAATCGAAATACGTCTCAAATTGAGAGAAAAGGTGAAAGGAAAGAAAACGAACGCATCCAATGTATCGGGATTGCAAACGAGGCCAAGTTGCATATCAGAGATTTCCATCTGGACATACATCCGACGTCATAATATCTATATTCGGACAAATGTACACAGCTCAAGAGCGCTTCAAAGCGTTTTGAACAATGAAAAAGAAACTAGAAAGCTTCGCGATTTGCAACTGGTCATCGCTTCGAAATGCAATTGTTGTGTTGAGATGCCATCGCGAATGTTTTCGACACTTTTTCGAAGAATGGAAATGAAAATATAGTTATCCGACACCTTTGAAAACTGTTTTGAAAAAAAGCAAAAGACAAAAAAACTGAAAAAGTTTAAGCCGAATTTTTTTAAAAAACTTATTTGACATTTAAAAATCAAAAAAATCCAATTTTTAAACAGAAGTTTTTTTGAAATAGTGTATAGAAATTGTGAAGATTTGCAGTATTTTTCAGAAAATAACTCAGAAAAACAATGGTATCAAAAAAAAAGAAACTCCAAGGAAGATCTGGGAAACTGTAAGATTTAAGAAAAAAAAAGGTCTGTTGAAGTGATAACAGGAATAAGGAGGTCAAGAGATCGTGATCTTTGATAATCCTAAGGTTTTATTGAAATAAAGAAAAAGTTCGCTTTGGAACTAGCCACGAAATGCAGCTCACAATTAAAACAACGAAAAAAATGGTTTTCTAATATTTTCAAATCAAATTTCTTGGTCAAGAAAAAAATAAATTTATACAAAAATAGTGCTATAAACTTTTCAAAAATGAAAAGAAGGAAGTGAAAGATCTTTTCTGCAATTTTCAGACCGCTAGAAGCATCAGAAGAGCTATAAAGATAACTGTCAAAATCTGGACTTCTCGTAGAAAACATGCCCTCAAAAGATTAATTTTGAAAATTTTTCGCGATTGGTTCAACATGATAATACTTGGAGAAACCCATAAATTAGCGAGTTCTGGTAATAGAAACCTTTAAAGGACGTTTCCATGAAGTTTCATCTAATTATTATTCAAAAGAACACCAAGAAGCTCTCAAAACACTTCTTACTACGGAGCGTTTTTGACCACCCCCCGCGGTTGAATTTTTTTGACAAAACTTTGCCTAAAGGTAGTTTAGGACCTCCTGATTGCTGGAATTACAAACATAGCCCAGTTAGAGAAGATGAATTGTCTCAAAATGACGTAGGAAACTATTTTTGCTGGTTTGGTCAACCCCGACCTGCTTCGGTCACGGCGCATGAACCGGATTATTATGTCAAACATGGAAAAAAAAATTGTTGCTTTTTCGGTCGGCAGGACCCCAAGAGAATGGTGCGGTAAACGATGTTGAAGGAAGACCTTGTTTGGGCCAGGCCCTTCGCAGTGCAACCAAAGTAGACAAACATACTAAAGATGCGAACGACAAAAGAACCGGAGCAATAGTAGCCGCCACAGGAACACTTTAGGAAGAATTGGCCGCCGAAGGTCCGTTGGGCTCAGGAAAACCAACTGGCCGTGTCTTTTTTTCAAGGCCAACCAACACACCGAGACTCATTTCATCTAATGGAATGTGCATTGAAATTGAAGTAAATGAAGAGGATTAGTCAGTAAACTGTCGTTCATAGAAAAAAACAGAGTTTTTTTCGAGATTTTTTTCAGTTTTTTTAGAAAAGGAAAAAAATTAATTTTAGAAGTTTTTAAGAACGGTTCAATTAAGAACAAATATTGGCAATGAAAAATAGATGAAAAAAAGAGAAAAAAATGGTTTTCTCGATAGGAAAGCGAAGGTGAGAGGAAGCCAGGTGCAACTCGGAATATTCAACGATTCAACAGATGGCTGCCGTCTGAGAGCACCTACAATAGAACAATCTGGAGCTACTCTCTGCGAAGGATTTGGCTCAGCGAGGTCCGTATTTGGCTCGGTGAACACGTCAGTCTTTTTAATCACCCTCCGGGAGAAAATAACTTTACAGTACCTTTAGAAAAGCTTGATTGGAATTCGTTCCAAGAAAGTGAAATGGAGGACAAAGACATCAATTACTTCACTCTTTATAGTATTCATATTAAGTATCAAGTTTATAAAAAAAGACTAATAGAGTTGCAATCTAAGAATCTACCAGGAAGCTTAATTAAGGAGCGTTTTTTTACCCTCTCTACATAGTTTTTGAGTTAAGACGCTTCAGAAGCTTGAAATAGCGTTTTTGTCATATTTTGCAGACTTTGCAACTTACAACTCGAAAACTAAATGTATTGCGAGAATTTTTTTTTTTCTTTCATGCAGTCAGGAGGTCCTCAATTTGAGTAAAATTTTGGCAAAGTTTCATCGGAAAGTCGAGCGCTAAGCTCTTATAGGCAAGCTCAAAAAAAATTAGAAAATCTCCCATTCTTGATTTTAATTTTTTCAAGTTCTTTCTCATCTCATGTTCTGTTTTTTTATATAAAAAATTTCATTCCATCACCTAGAAATTTTTTTTTCTGACAAGCAGCGCACGATAATTCTCAAGTACGCAGACACAGCGTCCATTTTGCAGAAAGGACACCTGCAGTTTTTTTATTAAAAATTTTTTTCATTTTTTTAAATTTAAGTTCTATTTATTAAATTATTTTTTTGAATAACTTTCAGAATGTCCAGCCGCTTCGTGCCCATGAGCAAAACTGTAGATAAATCGAAAATCAACCATTTCGTCTCTGAATTGGGATGTATTGATCGTCTACTTGTTTTAACAGGAGCCGGCGTTTCGACAGAATCAGGTACTAGTTTTTTTTATGTTACACTGCTGAATTACTTTTAGATTTTAGGAATTCCGGACTACAGATCTCATAAAGTAGGACTTTATGAGCGTACCAATCATCGGCCAATTCAACATTCCGAGTTTATGAAATCCGAATCGATACGGCAAAGGTTTTTTTTTTCGAATTTTCGTTACTTTTTTTCAACCTTTTTAATGATAATTAGGACAGAAAAAAAATCAAAAAAATTTTTTTAGGAAAAATTATTTTTATATGAAAATGCCATTTTCAAAGTTATTTGCGCGTAATGCGAAATGGCCTCTGTCTCTCAAAAACGAAGTTATCTTTTTTTTTCTCTGATAAAAATTTAGAATTTTGCGAAATCACTTTGAACACGGTTCAAAGATTTTTGTACATTATTATTTTGTTCAAAAGTCGATCTCAAGCCAGTTGTGCAAAAAACTGAAAGTTAGGATCAAAAAGGAAAATTTTCCATAAACTTTGTTCGTCATGATTGTTTTGCAGTTTTGCAAGAGTTATTTACCAGCTAGTGGTTCATTTTCCGTAAACCTCATTTTTTCATCTTTGAAACGTTCAGATAAAATCAAATAGAAAAGTTTCAAACAAAAAAAGGAGCAATTTCTAAGCTTTATCTTTTTTTTTTAGATATTCATGAATTTTACCTCTGTTGTACAAAAATGAATCATACATCATTCTACCAAAAGTCGTTCAAACCGAAACATCAAACTTTCAATTTCAGATACTGGGCGCGAAACTTCCTCGCTTGGCCAAACTTCTCACAGGCTCCTTGCAACGTGACCCACAAGGCTGTGGCTCGTTGGGAACGCTCGAGCAGATTTGTTTGGTTGATCACTCAGAACGTGGACGGACTTCATTCCAAGTAAAAAAACTGCTTCCTGAATGGAGATGATATATTTCCATAGAGCAGGATCGGAGATGATCACTGAGCTTCATGGAAGTGGTCACTTTGTAAGATGCATGAGCTGCGAGTACAGAATTCCGAGGTATATTTTCCTGTTTCATCAAATGTTTGAAAGGAAAATGAACAGAAAAAGGCCAACTTTCTTGTACAGTGCTGTCAAAAAAGATAAAATAAACGGGTTTCACAAATTTCTTTTAAGGAATTCAAAATTCCTGAAAGTTTCTGGTTTTGTGATGACTGCTATTTTCAACCCTTTGATGAAGTTTCAGTTTACAGAAAAAGACGCAGCTTCAAAAACTCTCATGAAGATTGAATTCCTTACAAGAGAATTGATCAAAGAGCTTTTCAAGGCTTCAATTTGATGGAGCAAAAAAATACTTTTTATTCATCTCAAGAACTGAGATTCTCCGTCCGTTTATTATCAGTTAGAAGATAGATTTTTTTCAACTTTTTTTGACCGATATATTATTTTCATAAAAAAACCAGAGAGTTTTTCATCCTGAAAAAAATTTTTTTATTCAGGAATGATTTTCAAGTTCAATTGGCATCATTGAATCCCCAATGGCTCCAGCAACACACCAAACCTGGAGAATTAGCCCCTGACGGTGATGTTCAAATCGAACCAGGATCAGAAAAAGGTTTTTTTATTTATTGTTGAAATTTTTTTCATCGAAACAAACAACAAAATTGTTCAGCATTCTGACAAAAGAAGTGATTTTTACTTTACGCTTGTGATCTTCCTGAAAGTTGGCCAGAATGCTCATTGATGTACTAAAAGATGATACTGAATGTCTCAAACTGCAAAACTTTCTATTTTTCGAGAAATAAGATCTCAAAGCCTCAAAATAGCCTTTTTTATGGATTTCGAGGGTTTTCTCTGGCTATAAAGTTTTCTTTCTCGAAAACTAGGAAGTTGTGCAATTTTCAGCATTTTATTAGATACATCAAAAAGTGTTCTGGTCAATTTTTATAAAATTCCCAACCGCAAACTAAAAGGGTCTCCCCTGTAAGAGGCGTAAAACTCCGTTTTTTTTGTTCAAGTTGAAAAAGGGTGTTCGAAATTTCAAAAGTTTGCAACCCCAAGCTTTTTATATTTTAAATGAATTAAAAAATTTTTAGGGTTTCGTAGTCGCACCTTGTATGGAATGCGGTGGCGTGATGAAAACGGACGTTATATTTTTTGGGGACAATGTTCCTAGAAAAATAGTTGATTTCTGTTATGAGAAGGTAACATTTGAGACATTTTTCAAAGAACTCAATTTTCATTCTCAGGTTGAAGAATGCGACGGGATTTTAGTCCTTGGTTCCTCGCTCACTGTCATGTCCGGTTATCGTTTCGTATATCAGGTTCTACAGTTTTTTTGTTTGTTTAATAATCTAATTATCATTGTTTAGGCCAGCCTGCAAGGAAGACCAATTTTTATCGCTAATATCGGTCCCACGCGTGCTGACCATTTAGCCACGATGAAAATCGAGTGCAAATTATCCCAGCTCGTTGAAAAAATTTGAAATTTCTGTCAAAAATATCGTTTTTTATTCATTCACAAAGCTCCAGTTGGAATCCTTCTCTTACGGTTATTTCTCTGATTTTTGCTCATTCTAGGATTCTGTGGATTTTATTGTCATTGAATGTTGACTTTCTTTTTTTCTGAATCAGCTTTTCGAGACCTTTTTTTTTTTTTCGAAGCCGACTTCCTAGTATAAATAATACATATTTTCCTAATTTCAAAAAAATGTGTTCCAAAGTTTATTTCTTTTTTTTGTATAAAAAGATTTTTTTGGTACGTCGGAAAAAAAGTTGGGAAGCTTCTGCTATCAGTTCCTCGGAAGGTTTTTGGGAGCTTTCCAGCAAATGGCCATACGTCTTCCACATAGCATTCCACCAACTTCTGATTTAAAAAAAAAAGCCTGCCGGAAGCCTTCCAAGAAGGATTCTGACAGGCATTTTCCTTCCCAAAGACTTTCCTAACACCTTCCGAAGGCCTTCTCAAGACTTTCTAGCTTTCATTCACCTTTAAACCTCCTGCTAATTTAACCAACACCTTCCGAAGATTTGCCTTAGTATAGCCATTCAAAAAATAAAAATTATAAAATATTCCCAAAACAAAATTCATACGATTCTGACATTTTAGTGATTCATTTCAAAATCCTTGAGATCGCTCCTTCAAGAATTTTTTTTTCTGAAGGGATTTTCTTACTGAAAATTTTGCGAGTACGCTTTTCTGAAAAACGGGCACGTCATTTAGTTGAAACTTGTATGAATCAGCCATTTCAACATGTAATTGGTCCACTTCTTTCGAACGATTAATAAAACGCTTCTTTGTGATTGTATGCGTGTTATCACACGTTGAATGAGCGATAGCAACACCTTTACCAGGACTTATGCATGCTCCGTGAAGCTCGACCTTCCACCTCTCTCCAAGTTTTCCGCCTTCTGGTACCAGTTGATCATGTTTTCGAGAATATTTTTTTTCTCAGGCGACGAGTTTCCTCATCTTTCAAGGAGTATCGAGCTACGTCTATTATAGTGAGGTTGAGGCGCAATGTTTCCTCAATTTAGCGGCGGCAGCTTATGCAGATGCAGGTAGATCCGGAAGATAGAAATGGATTTTCCGGAATATTCTAGCGAATTCAACGGCTCGTCAGTCTTGCATTGATCTCTCGTACCCCGATAACCAATTCCGGGTTCTGATGGTCATGTCTGCACCTTGCGATAAGGTCGGTTGCTATTCGTTTTGTGACTAATTACGTATACTGCTTGGTCATTTTTTGAGAGAGCCAGCAGTTCTTTTACAGAGATGAGGATCATTTTGTAATCCGAACAGAGAAACATTTTTTTTTTTGATTCCTAGAGACGTAAAGAAAAATCTCGTTTGATGGCTAATCAAATTTTTACTCATAATATAAACTGTATTTTTTCTGATCTGTAGCTGTGCCTAGAGTGTGGGAAACTTACAAAACTCGAAGTTACTTGAGCAAATTTCCAGTAGAAGTGAGACAAATTTCAAACTTCAATGACGTTTTTTGCAGAATGGATTTTTTTTCCATCATTTGTGGCGTATGAAACTGTATAATGAGATTAAACAAGTATATTTTAATGATGTTATATCATCAAGTCTATCTTGATATGAAAGTTTAGTCTCCGAGCTTTTTGAAGTTTTAAAAAAAAAAGACATTTTTTCAATTTATCTGAAAAAAAATCACCTAGTCATGAGTCACAAACAAATCAAAAGTCATAAGCCAGCGGTGAGAACATTCGAATTTTTGTAAAATCTAGTATTTCTCAAAAACCTCCGTTTTTTCATGGATTTGTCATCAAAGAAATCAGGACTGATCAAAATAACAGATTTTTCCCGCAAGGATTCCAACATTTTTAAGAAAATCCCCCTTTGAAGCAGTTTTTATCAAAGCAATTCCAGCATCGAAACCAATGTCAGGCATTCGTCGCAATCTCAGACACCACGAGAACTGTAATCGTGTCGTTCCGGGGAACGAACACTGGGGGACAATTGCTTACCGAGTTTTCGACTGGACTCGTAGATTACATGACTTACATCGAAGAAGGTTTGTTCAGCAGATTAAAATCGTGAGACGATAAGATTTGAAGAAAAGAATACTGTCTTTTTTTCAGATGGGAAGGGGAATAACGTGAGTATCGGACATGCCAACTTTTATTTTCTACGAGCTATGGATAAAATGTGGGATGAAATGGTCGAGCCATGCATCCAAGGGTAAATCCTCACAAGAAAAGTCATTTTACTTTGCGGTTGGGATCTTTTTGAAAATTGGCCAGAGCGCTCCTCTTTATGCGCTATTTTTCGAAAACTAGGGAATTTTGCAGGTTGAGAATTTTAGAATCTTCAAAAAAAAAGTGTCCTGGCCATTTTTCAGTAAATTCCCAACTGCAGAGTAAAATGACCTTCAGTGTCAGTCTTCTCAAAAACTTGAAGATTTTGTTCTGAATTTTGAAAATTTGTTCTTATTAGGCAGAACTAAATATAAAAAAAGCTTTCATTAATTACCATTGAAACTTATGAATTTTTTTCAGCTCGAAAGAAAAAAATTATAAAAAAACACCCTTTACTGCATCTTCAAGGAATTTTATTACTTGAAAACCCACAAAGTCAGGAAGTGATGTATTTTTTGTCACAACAGGTTAATTATATGTAATAGATACTCACTGACCTATTTACGCATGTTTTGGGAACGAATCATCTCTGATCTCTAACGTAATCGAATTAGACAGGAATAGTCTTCAGAAAAGAATATTTTTGGAGTTCAAGAAATTTGTTTCCTTCGTTGCAGCTGAGAGCGAAATCAGATTAACATAAGCCATAAATTTTCACCTTTCAATCTCCCACTAGACTGGGGCGAACTGTTCGTTCCAAAGTATTTCTCTAAAGAACAGCAGCTTTATCATAAGAACTTGATAACTTAAGACGTGCGAACTACACGTTTCTTGTGACTGGCCATTCTTTGGGCGGCGCGTTGGCGTCGCTTACTGCTTTTCGGATCGCCTTTCGAGGAATTTCCACTGAAGTTTAAATAAATCTTCAGGAAAAAAAATAATACGAAGTTCCAGGTGAAAGTGCATACGTTCGGAGAGCCGAGAGTTGGCGACCATTCTTTCGCTTCTTACTTTTCGGTAAGCTCTAAAAAGTCTGAGTATTATTCACATGAAAGCTCTGAACTTGAGAAGCTTTTGAAATGAAGCGGACAGATGTATCAATGGATTTTTACTATAACGACTGGAAGGAAAAGCTCAAACTTTCTTCAAAAAAAAAAATGGACTTTCACTTTCGCAATAGGCACCAGTGGCAAAGTAAAGCTTAACGACTGAAAAGATCTATGAAAGCGCAAGTCGTTTCAGGTCGGGCGCAGTAAAACTTAAAAGCCTACTGCTTGGCGTTGAAATAAACATATTTCCTTAGTTTTCGACCCTCTTTTCAAAGCTGTAATTAAACGGTAACTTATGAATGAAAAATCGTTCGCAAAAATACAAGTTTTCTGTCTCGAAGCAAAAATTTCCTGAATGATTTCAGATGTTTGTTCCTTATGCATTCCGAATCATCCATTACACGGATCCAGTACCTCACTTGCCTCCGCTAAACGTGGCCAACGCTGCCGGCGACGGCCTTCCATATCACCATCCTCGAGAAGTTTGGTATCGTACAGTCTCCCCTTGTTTTTTGGAATAAAAATACCTGTGCAGGTATAATGATGTTTTCACGAGCTATACGTTGTGTAGTCCGACTGAAGGCGAGGACTGGGGCTGCAGTGATAAAGAACGGTTCTGGCAGTATGGACACAAGGTTGTTATTTTGAAAATTTAATTATAAGCTTATTGAAAAAAATAAAACTTGACATGATTTTTAAAAAAAGTCTAATTTTTCAAAACGAAATTCTTTTTTTGCTTTGAATTCATTCTTACAGGGAACCTACCGTCATACACACTACTTCAACCATTTTCTTTCGGAATACGGTGCGATGGGCTGCAACTCAGGAGGAAGCCGGAACATTCTCGTCATTTTCCCCTGCCTACTAATTGTTCTTTTATTGCATAATAAACTGAAGCTTTAATGTTTTCGTTGCTTTGTTGGTCGTCCAGGCGGCTGTCCGCTTTTTGTAACAGAGACCAAACAAAAAAACAAAGGAAGTTAAAGTGGAAAGTAAACTAGGTTTGCTAGGAGAAATCGGATATGATGAGTAGTTTTCGTCGAGTTTTGGATGTTAGTTTTTTTTATTGTAAGAAAAGTAGAAGTTGAGAAAAATCGAGACTTTTAACTAGAAAATGGAAAAAAAATGGAATATTTATTTGCCTCACAAATTCAACCTGAAACTTTTATTTTTTATAGTTCAATCTTGATTTTCTTGAAGTTTTCATCAGAGGTTCAAGGCTTTGCCGGCATTTATGAAAATCTATTTCCGCCGAGCTCAAATAAATCAGCGGTTATATTTTGAATCTGAGATAAACCTGATTAAAAGGAAGGTCAGTTTACTTTGAAAAAAAAATTTCTGAAAAGTTGTCAGAACACTCCTTAGAATACCAAAAAAATATTCTGAAAGGCTCAACTTGCAAAACTTTTTCTTCTTTGAGAAATGAGGGTTCAAAGCCAAAGAAAACCTTTAAAAAGTCGAAAAAGCCATTATTGAGGCTTCTAGCTCTTATTTCTTGAAAATTAAGAAGTTGTGCAGATTGAGAGTTTTTAAACCTTAAATTGGTAGTTTAAGGAGTATTGGGACAAGTTTTCAGAATACTCCCGACCATAAAAGTTAAAAACCTCTTTTGTGATCAACTAGAAAGAAATCCATTTTCAGATGAAGAAGTGAGAATGATTATTTTTATTCCACTTCCTCAACTAATAAGAGCGGATAGTAACTTCTGAGACGGCAATAAAACTGACTAGGAAAAGCCCATTCTCAAAAACCAAGCAACACGTGCTCGGTCCGGTGTGAAAGCTCAACATGTGCCACAAAGAAGCTCGAAAAATAAGAGAGTTGCGAGAGAAGATGAGTTTGTCTTGAATAAATGTGTTTCGGATGGCCCAGGGCTCACACAGCTGCCTTTGTGGAGGAGAAAAAGAACCCGAGATTACCTGCTGGTCTTTGAGGCCAACTGATGAAATGTGAGTCATTTTTATTTTCCTTTTTCTTCTGAAACCGTTCTTTTTGTTCTGAAAAGTCGCACGCCTACGGCAAGCAAACTCTTAAATCAGATTATTTTAAATGGAAGTAAGCGAGGAAAATATGAAACTGAGTGGTATGACTTCTGTTCTTATTGGTATAAAAAGGGTTTCAGACGTTTGGCCTCATTCATTTTTTGTCTCCCTGGAGAGTTTTTACTCCGTCTTGCAACTCGTACGACGTCTTTTCTTTACGATAATGCGATGAGTTTTCTTTTCACGTGGCTTCCAGTGTTTCTCAAGGTTAGAAACCTCCAAGTTTTATTTCAGTGATTTGTTTACAAAATCGCGTCATTGTTGTTCGATGTTTATTATGCAGCAAGAAGAAGATAATTAAATTAGAGACGGTAAATAGACTTCTTTTTGGGAAAGAAACAAGGAGGAGCGTTCGGAGTCCTGGCGGTTTTCCGCCTTGTGTCCCTCTATCAATTATCACTCCGGCCGTCAGCAGTTATGAACTATCAAATTTGATTTCTTGTTCAAACATGTTTCTTCTTGACGTTTTACTTTGACCGATTACAAGCTCCTCGGCTCTTAATCAGGCGAGAACATAAAAATTTTCCTCGATGGTTTTATTCTTTCAGAAGTTCCGGGCTGTCAAATGATTGTATTCCTGTAAAATTGCCGTTTTATCGAACTTTGCTCTCAAAAATGAGTTTTAAGTATACCTTTTTTTAAATAAACATAATGCATCCGCGCGTAACGCATTTTTCTAAAAATTCACAATTTCAGGCGCAGAAATGATTGCTTACAAATGCAATATTTTCAAACATTGTTGAACCGTTTTTTTTAATTTTTGCGTAACCCCATGCGATCTAGGTTTTCAAGCCAAAATAGAAAAATTCCGAAGAAGCTACAGTATCAGACTGCGAACGATTAACCTCTAGGCAATGGTGTTTGGATGGACATGTCTATCAAATCGTGATAAGGTGTCCTCCCACCAGGTCTACTGCTTTCGCGCCGTCCGCTCATTTAACGCCCTGTTTTGAACAAGCACTTTTAGCCTTTTGAATAAGACTATATCTAATATTTGAAGAAAAACGTAGATTTTCAGTACAAGGAAAAAATTAGTTTCGAGATTTTCGAAAACTAGTTTTTATGAATCAGACTTGTTACTATAATTTTCTGAGTTTTATGAGCTGTTCTGATTTTCAATCGAACTTGTCAGTTTCCTCTAATGATCTTATTTAGATTTTTTCGAACTTCAAAGGAAATTCAAAAAATCAACTTTGTCTATTCATTCATATTATAAACTTTCAAGTGAATTCGATTATTCAAAATGTCGGTTTCTCAGATTTTCATGAGTCATTCCAGTGAGAACTTTGTTTCCACTCAAAAACATTTTGGAACATTCCGGAATATCATTTTTAAGCACAACTTTGCTCTATTGAACTTTGAACACACAGTCAAAAAATATTTTCATATTTTTCAAAACAAACAATACGACAGTGTTTATAATTCTCAAAAGTCAGATTCGCTGAATTATTCGTTTTTTTCCCAGTAATGATGTGCTTTTTGCTGCTCATTAAACAGGAATAAGTTTTTGAAACTTGTATATCGGGATAATCTTCAAAGTTCTATATTGGGAAATACATCGTTTTGAAACAGAAATCAGCTTTTTTGACTCAAACCAAAAATTCTTCTTCTCAAGACATTCTAGTCCAAGTTGCTAGGTGTGAGTTGCTGAAACAAAGTCATCAGTTATAAAACCAAGGCTGTCGAGTTTTTACGCGGCCAACATCTGTCATTTTGACTTGCTTCTGCTCATTTTCCAGTCCCTATTTTTATCTCAATTTTGAAACAGGTTTTAATTATATTGCCAGAAAGTCTGTGCTATGAGCTTACAGTATCAAAAATCTGTAATAAGAATAGGGGAACCCTTGTCTGAGAATTCACGCCACCTTTCGAGCTTCTCCTTATCAGTTTTGTTTCACCGCCGGGACGTTTGAACAGTGGCAAACAGTCTTTTTGCCATTGCAAAAAACTTCTGGAATTCTCTACTTATGGTATGGAATCTTGTTATTTTTCTCTCGATCCTTTCGGCAAAAAGAACTGAAAGGAAGCACTTTGTTCATGAGAAAAATAAAACGCCCACTTTTAAAAAGTAGTCAACAAAATTCGCAAACTGTTTCGAAATTTTTTATTTTTATTCAATCCTTTGTGTTATGAATCATGCTCTCGTCTGTTTTTCCAGATCCATTTTTTTCCATTTTTGCTCGTTTTTTTTTGTCCGCTGCATTTTTTTTTTGATTTAAACGTTCAGAAGTTGCAGATGCTGTTAGGCCCGGCTTTGGAAGCTGTAGGCGGGTCGATCGGCCGTCGACCTCTTCCGTTTTTTGCCGTTTCGCTTCTGATCACAGCGCTGTCACTTCTCACTCTTTATTTCCTACCGTGAGCTTTTTTTTCTTTCAGAAAGTTTGAAAGAATTCAAATTTTGAACATTTTTTGTACATATACTGTAGTAGACACGCTCATTTTGCTCGAGGGAAATTTCCTCACGCCATAAATTATCATAAAGATAGCACTCCAAAGTACATTTTGTGATCAGAATGTCTAACTTTGAGATGTAAAAAACTAATTAAAAATATCACCAAAAAAATTACTATTTTTTTCCGAGAAAGATATTTTAAAAAAACTATATTTTTTTTTCGTCTGAAAATCTTTTTTCGGTGAACTTTTTTTAACTCAGCGCTGCCTTTTTTAATCAAAAATAAACCAATAATGGGGATACATTTTCTGTAAAATCATCAAATTTGTCACATTTTCGACTTGAAGCAAACCATTGTTCGCGAAAAATCTGTCTGACCTCTCTGCGCCCTACTCGCCAGATCCGCGTCTCTGCTTATTTTCCCAACCTCGCTCCGAGTCGGGACATGCGGCTCTTGATAAACCGTCGGTTCCGAGTCTCCTTCGCTCATTCATCCACCATTCCCAAGTCATGAAGGAGGCCTACTTTGTGACTTGGCGCATGGAGGTTGAGCTGCCGGGAGTTTCTTATCACAATTTATGTGAGAGAACTTTCTGTCAAGAGATTTTGAAAGTCCTGAAGTCCTCAGACGACAGGTGCATGACCATAGATATATCAAGAAAGGATTTTCTCCTAAGATGAATTAAATTTGATAAAATCGCTAAAAAAACACTCTTGAAATAACTCTGAAACGGCAAAACACAATAGCAAAATATACAAGAAAATGTTCAAATCAAAAAATTAACGAGACCTCTACAATTATCTGAATCTTCACGGTTCCCATCGAAAGCAAACAATTCTGATTTCAAATAAAACATCAAAAAGATGGATTTAACACCAAAAAAGCAAGGTCCAAAAAATTTGAACCAAGAAATCCCGTTTCCTCTTCGTATTCTCATCTCAAAAAAAAATTCGATTTGATTTTATTTTTACAGCTTCGACATAGTTTTGAAATTCGATGACGGGTACAACAGAGTTGATGCACCGTCGATTGGCGAACTCCAATCGCAAATCAACTTTTTCGACAGCGTTAGTTTTTTTAGAATATTAAAAAATGATTACTTTTCATTTACTAGAAAATGATCTTACGTGAAAATCGAGTAGATAATAGAGATTTTGTGGGTTTAATAAGCCTAGATAACAGTCTGGGAAATAAAAATAAAGGTTTTCTAACCCTTCAGGCTACCGAGGAAAAGCTTGTCAAAGCTTTTTGAGAATGTGAAAGAGCTTTTCTTAGTACTTAAGGCAGTACTTTAGAGTGGTTATCATTTAATTCAAACGTAACATGATGTTTAGGCGATCCTCTGATTGTGAGCAACCCTCTGAACTTGATGTACAAAATTATGAAAACATTTTTTTTCTGTTGCTATAATTTTTTATCAAACTTTTCGAATCTTCGAAATCCTATTAATTTTGTCGTAGATTTTCACGGTAATGTGCAATCTTTTAAATCAGATCTTTGACTTTTTCAGAAAGTGAAACCCTGGTATAGTGCCTTGTTTGCTGTCCCACGGAACGGTAGTGCTTCTATCACGGACAATGCCGAATTCAACGAAGTCTACAAGTTTTATGACGTCAGTCTTTTTCAGTTGAAATTTTTTGAGATTTTGAGAGTGGTCTCTGTAGGGATTCGTAAAGTGGTTCCTAGAGGGCTAAAGGGGATCTTTCAAGGGCCTCTAAGGTTGCCATCATAGAGACCACTCTGGAGCTCATAAGATTCTTGTTAAAAAAAAACTTGTTTTGGTTTAGAAATTGATGAAACTTCCCATTCGTGGCGAAGGTAATCAAACGATTGCTTACAAGGACATTTGTGGCAGCATGTGCGATTTCAACGATATCCTCCTTTACTCTGTAAGAAAAGAAGACATTTTTGAAAATTTTCGGGTTTCAGAGCATTTTCCCGCCGTTCACATGGCCGGAGGACACTATCATGTTCTGGTACAAAGCGAACATTGGCAAACATTTTTTCGATTTAAAACTCAACGAGGTTTTGGTGTTATTCATTTTCAACGCCTAGGTGTGGCTTTTTGAGATTACCGCAAGATAGTTGCGCGTACATGAAAATTTTTCAAAATTTGCTCACGTTTTTTCAACAACAAAGTGAATTTATATAATCCAGGGCTCTTCTAAACGAACAGGACTTTTAAAGAAAAGTTATATTCATGCGATAATTTCGAAAATGTAACTGAAGACCCCTCATCTGTTTATCAATATACGGAAACAGGAATTGATTTTTTGCGTAGATTAAAAAAATTACGAAGCTTCCAACCTTGCAAAATTGCAAAACTCTCCAAAAACACAAGTTTCCCCTTTAGAGAAAAGACATAGTCCAAGCAAACATCACGGCGCTCTACTTCATGGTTTTCCCGAACGATACTCAAGCTGTCACTGACGTTAGTGAATTCGAAAGAGTCGCTCAAATGTGAGAATTGAGAAAAACTATTCATATTCAAACTTGATTCTGATCTCAGTGCAATCGATCAACACAATGCCAATGTCACTGCAAAAACTACCTTCACGCTTCACGGACCACGAGGAATGGAGGTGGCTGTTTTTTCAATTTTTTCTCTTTTAATCAGGAATTTTTCAGCTGGAAATCAAGAGAGGAACTGAGAGCTTTGCCGTTCATTTTGCAATCGGTAATTTTCTTCTCATTTTCAAGATTTGCATTACTTTTCTAGGTCTTAATGTTTTTTGCGCTCTGCAGCTCATATTCTTCTACTTTGTCAATATGGCATTCAAACCGATCAGCTACTTGACGTGAGCCCTGATTTTTTGATTGATCTTTCTATTTACTTCAAATTCAGAAACTTCGTATTGTGGGTGGCGGCTCTCCTTGTGCCTCTTTGCTCTTTGGCTACCTCGGCGGCGGTACATGTCCTTCTGGGAAACCATTTCAACACACTTTTCCTGCTTTCGCCCATTTTCGCCATGATTCTTAGTGAGTAGAAATGCATTTTTTCAAGACTGAGCTGTTTATTTCAGCTTGTGATGGGCTGTTTTTGATTTACTTCAATTGGGTGAGAATCGGTCAAACCAACAAGGAACATCAGACTAGTCTGGTAAGGCTCTATCTTCTATTTTCCACGGTTTGAAAGGCTCTGTTTGTGCAAAAGGATTCTCAAAACGTTGCGAATTGTTTTAAAGACCAGAAAAATCAAGGATCGAAAGATTTTTGATAGAAATTTTTTCATCTTTGGCATCTCTTAGCAAGTAGAGAAAATTAGGAAAGGCTATGAAATGAGTACTAAAACCAAGAATTGAAAAATTCTTGCACTTCCATATCGATCTTTGAAGCTCATTATTTTGGGAGATAAATCAATAATCATTGACAGTAGCGACTAAATTTGTAAATATCGGACAACTAAAATTGTGGAAAATCGATATTTGACTTCCCGTTTTCAAGGTTTTGAGAAGCTGCGGACCTTCCATTTTTGTTGTTCTTTCGACGGCGCTCGGTTTCATCGTCGGATCTCAGATGACTGTTCCTGAATACGCGAACCTTTCCTTCTTCATTGGAATTTCATTGATCTCAATTTTCTTCCACACTGTGAGACAAATTTGATGATTTTTGTAATATTTTGCTTCCAGATTTGCTTGTTTGTGCCCACACTTGTTTGGATTCATTCTAGCAACGAACACAAGCCCGTGGATACCGGTGTCAAGCCCACACAAACGACTTGTTGCTGTACCAAGTTCTTGAGTTTGTTTTTCTGATTGTTTCTCTCAACAAAAAAGCTAGAATCATCGCTTTGACAGGTGAAACAGTAAGCCATTGTGAAAAAATTTGAGAAAAAAATCCTGAGCTACTAAGGTTCAGTAATAAAATGAACAATGCCATCGGAAGCTCGAAGTTTGGGAATTTTTTTCAGTGCTCGAACCGTTCTTTTGAACAATTTTAGCTTGATGAAAATTTTGAATATGTCGTGGCTGTTTTATGTGAGTAGAGCAAACAAAAAAAATTGGATAGAGTTGCTCAGAAATAAAGTTCAAAAACTGACGGCTTTTGCGAAAAAACGCCGAAATTCTATGTTCAGATTTCTTGTGTATAATTGTCGATGAATTTCAATGCCTCAGTACTTCAAAACTTCAGAAAAATGGAGCAAGCTCCTTTCGTACTCGATGGTTGTGAAAATAACGGCTATAACCTCTCTGGTTTTGTTCCTCGGAAGCAGCGCACTCGTCCTTCCAGATGTGAGATCAATTTATTATTGAAAAAATCACGAAAATAGTTTTTCAGACTCACGGAGACCTCGACTACCGCCAGCTTCTCCCTGAGGGATCTCCGAACCGCATGGGAGTCCACTTTATGAGCGACAAGGTATGTTTTTTTGATGGTCATCACAAAAAAAATAGTTTTATTTTCTCGAAAAGCTTCTGTACATATTATGGAAATAACTCCTTTGATTTGAGGTCTGGCCGCAATTCCTTCACATTCTATTCATTGTGGAGCGGCCGCCTGATTTTACAAACGAAAACGATTATGCCCGTTTCAAGGTACTTATTGGCGGTATCGAAAACTCAGTTTCTTTTCTCTCAGAGTATGATTCGACAGCTGGAAAATCTGCCCGGAACGATTGGTAGAGAAGCTGATATGACCTGGATCAAGGACTTCATGCGTCACAACGAAATAGAGGAAGACGCTGCCAGTAAGTGGAAGCTTTTGTAAAATGAGAAAAAGTTTGTAACAATTCACTCAAAAGCAATGAACCTTTTGGTGTGACCAAAAATAACATCCTTGAAAACACCTTTTTACCAGTCAACTTTCAGAACGTATAAAATTTTTTTTTCAGCTTTGCCAATGCAAAACTTCCGCTCTTTCATCGATCACGCGGTTTACAAAGCTTGGAGGTCCGGTGTGCGATACGAAATTGATGAAAGGTGAGAGAAATTTGCATTACATTCAAAAAAAAAATGTTTTCAGTGGAAATCTCACACTAAACAAGATGATATACATGGTTGCCTTCAATGGAACAACGACTTTGGCCGAGAAAGCTCAGCTCATTGAAAGCTGTAGAGAAGTGAGATTCGATTTGATTTTATTTTGCTTTTGAAGATTTCGATCGACCAGAATCACTACTTGAAAAAATAACTCTGAAATAATTCTCCTTCATCTGAAAATTGCAACGGACTCTAAGCGACTTGAGCCGACTCACATTTCTTGAACATCAGGGCTCAAAAAATACCTTCCGTCCAATTAAAAAAAATAACGCTCTTTTTTATATGAAGAAAAAAGCAACGTATGGCAGTATTATTATTATTCAGGTTGTCCGAAAGTACCCAGAATTCCGCGTTTATCCATTTGACACGGAAGTTGGCATGGCGGACAGCATTTTGCACTTGATGGCCACAGTTAGACAGTAAGTTACATAGAATAATGCCTTTTTGATGCGTTTTTGAAGATTGTAGTGCAGATTCATGAGCTTTTTTGGCACTTTTTGGTCATCATTCGAAAAATTCTATTATCTCAAGCCGATAGAAATCGGTTTTTCCTGTTTTTTTTTGTGAAAATATTTCAATGGATGTCATTTGGAAGAAGATTTATAGCTTCAAGCTTAGATTTTACAGGAAAGCTTAACCCTATTCGTTTGAACTTTCAAAATGGATCCTATAAAAAATGCCCTTCAGGATTCCCTTCCTGACGCTTTTCTCCGTCAGTGCTTTTTCTCTCATCGCTCTGATGAACTTCGTCGTGGCGATTGTCAATGCTGGTCTTATCTTTGTTATTTACGCTGGTAGCTTCTTTTAAGTAAATGCGACCCATGATAACTTCTTCAGGGACCTTGGCTGTGATGACTTTCTTCGGTTACACGTTGAACCCCTTCTCCGTCGGTTATCTCATGTTTGCAATTGCGATTGCGCCGAAATTCACAACGCACATTAGCTACTTTCTTTTGCAGGTTTGAGCATTCAGAAGATAATAATTGATTCATCATGATAAAAAGAGATTTCTAATGAAAAACGTCCTTATCGAAAATATGTACGGAAAGTCTGGTTGAATAATATTTTTGTGTTTATCTTAGGAATTCCACGGGGTCCCTATAGAGTTAACCTAAGGGGTCCTTTGAGGGTCACCTCTAGGGATTTTACCAAGCCCTATAGGGACCACTAAAGCTGGCAAAAGTGGTCTTATAGGGGCAACCTCAGGGAACCTTGAAGGGTTCTTTCCTGGGACCATTTTCCCAACCCCGATAGGGGTCATTAAAGCTGGCAAAATGGCCCGTATAAGGGTTAGTCGATTGTTATGAATTCTAAGTGAATAAGCATTCCCATGGGAAAAACAGAATAAATAAGCGTTTTTGAATGGAATCGGAAGACTCCTACAGGGACCACTTGAGCTTTAAAATGATATTTTTGCTATCATATAAAGAAATGCTTTCAGGAACTGCGCGTCCCGGATCACACGAAGCGGGAGCAGAGAGTTTACACCGCGTTCACAAAGACATTGGCTCCTTTCATGGCTGTGAGCATGATAATCTCTTCCTCATTACTCGATTCTACCTTCAGAGTTGGACTTGCGGCTTCATCTTCTTGCTGCCGACCATCTTCGTCAAAGTCCAGATCTTCCGCGAGCTGGCTGCCTTCCACTTGACTCTACACGTCATCGGGCTCTACGTGGCTCTTCTGGTTCTTCCTTCCATTATCTGTTGCTTGCCCAAAGGTCTCATCAGCACGGAGTTCTTCTACAGCAGGAAAAAGTGAACATATCTTATTAACATTTATTTATTTTATCCAATTTTTTATCATTCCAACCCGCATTTCATCGACCCTTGAGAAACTAAACCATTCATTCAAATTCGTGTAATTTTTCTGTATTTAACCATTGTCACAATGTTTCAGAGATCAAAACTTAAGCATCCTCATTTTTTTTCTTTTTTTGAATTTGCTCTGTGCCATTCAATTTCGTGTTTTTCACGCCACGTGATATCAGCATCGGGATATATTTTTATTTAGCTTTTTTGCAATATCGTTCAACTTTAAGAAATTTTTTCGAAGATTTTCTGATTTTTTCAATCTGATTCCAAAGTTGTTACCCTTGATTTCGATCTTTCGTATCGTAATGAAAATTTGGTGGATATTCCGAAGACAGCTAGAAGGCCAATTGATATGAATTATATTTCTTGAAACTGGGTTGTTATTTTGTAGGTACCGCAGAAATTAGATTTAATCTGAAAATTCCTCAATCAGCTGAAGATTTATTCCAGACGTTACACTAAAAGTTAAATATTGAGGTTCGAAACCAACAATGAATGAAGTTTACTGCTGGCTTCCTTTTTTTCAATTTTCCATCGAATACATCTGATTTTATTAAAGACTTTCACAAAGAAAAGTCATAAAGTAACACAAATTTATGACTAATCAAACTTTGAGAAACTCCATTATTTTTTTCTTCTCACATCAATAATGTCCCTGAGTAATCTAAAAAAATTTATATTCACCAAATAACATACATGTGTAGTCCAAATAACAATGAATTGAAATAAAATATGAGAAAAGAGAAAAAAAAACAATGAGGGTTGATAGAGAATGTAATACTTTCAATACACCGATTCAGGTGGAGATCATTTCAAACGGCAAGAAATTGCCTGATGACAACGTGCACTACTCATTAGATAGAGAGAGGAGGAGAATAAATAAAGAAGAATGAACAGAAGGAAGTTCACAACCGAACAGCCATTTGTCTTTCCGATAGAACGAACGAGTCGAGAGATTGAAAACCGGGGCAAGTAACAGTAGGGGTGGACAGTTTTCCGCAGCCTAGAAGAGCTTGAGTCAGGGCAAGAAGCGAGGATTCCGAAGAGGCAAGCATACTGTTGATTTGCAAGGCGTCCAGTCCTCCGATCACAGGGCTGAATGGAGAAATTGATAAACGGCATTAATTTAGTTCTTGTTACCTCAGGGTCTTTGGCATGGTCGTCATTGGGAGTGGGGGTAGTCCTAAAGAAGTCGGTACTTGGCCTGCGGCGACAGGATTGAAACTGAGTGGAGAAGGACGAGAAACGGGACTGATCGAGTCTCCCGATCGGAACTTCACTGAAATCGTCAAGCTTGAGTTGAGGAAATTTCTATAGTTTGCAGTTCTTTTTCATATTAAAAAAAGTTTTTGGATTTTTCAACTTTCTCAAAACACTTTATGTCTACATCTGCTTCAAAGATGATTCTAAAAACTAACGAAAAGCTGTTAATTAACTGCTGAGGTTACTAGAAGTTCAGTTCCTCCGCGAAAATCAACAAAAAAACATAAATGTCCTGTTTTTCCACAAACCGGTTTCTCAGAACTTTTTTAGGATTTAAAACGGAGAAAACTCACATTTTTCCTCAAGCATCTCATTCCGAATTTTCAGCTCTTCCATGTTTTTCTGATTGTCCGAGAGACGCTTCTGCATGGCCGTAATGTATTCAACAGCACGCTTTAGGATCAATGCGCGGGAAGACTGAAAATAAAGATGATGTGTTTGTTGTAGAGCTTCTAAGCGTTTTCAAACGTTATCTTCAACAAAATATTCACTTTTTCGCCTTCGAGAAGTGGGATGGCGTCTTTCAAAGACATGAAATGGTCTTTGATGTGATCGCGACGTCTTCTCTCGAGCTCGTTGTGATGAGCGCGTCGGTCGTCGTCGATGCTAGGGCTTTGAGACTTCGGACTAGACGAATCGTCCTGTAATTGTCCTTGTTGGTGTATTGAAAAAGTATTTTTCGACAAGACTGAGCGCTAGGGAGAACTTGATATTGCATCAGACTGATGTACTCACGTCGGAGAAATCGTTGTCGGAGTGTCGTCGTTTGCGGGGCTGTTGCGGCTGCTTCATGTTGTTGCCAATCTTGGTCATGTTGTAAATCTCTTCAACGTTGGAGTACATGGTCAGGTGGTTGGATGTGATCTGAAGCTCATTTTTCTAATTTTCGTAAATTGTTTTTTTCTTGAAAAAAAAATGAGCGAAATTTTTTGATTAGAAAAATCGAGTTTACATTATGAGGCAATAATGAATATTTTTTTCAAAGGAACTACTACTTTTTTTGAAGTCCTGAATCTATTCCTATAGCAAGTTATGGGTAAAAGAAGAAAGGGCGTATCAAATAAACAGTTTTATTTACCTAGGATGAAATATATTCTTCCGGGTCATTTTCAATTCATTTCAAAAAATATTTTCTACGGAATAGTCAATGAAAATTTTCAAAGTTTACGGATGGCTCGAAAAAATAGTTGAGAAGTATAGCTTAAAGGTAGTCTCCAGGAGTCAAGTGGCAGCCGACTTGACCCCAGAGGATGCTGGTAAACGTCTGAGTATGGTCTGCAGAGGCATGGAGGTGTGGCATGCAAACTGGTGGAAAGAACGGAAGGCGGTGCGGCGCCGCCCATCCACGCGGATCTGTGCCCACCCGCGTGTTCTTTGCACCTTCAGCGAGGCTTCTTCTCCTGGCCCTTTGTGTGTGTTTTGAACCAAATGACATGTGCAGAAAAAATTCAAACAAATTTTTAAGATATAATACAGAATCACGAGGAAGCTGAAATGTAGAATCAAGGTGAAAAAAAAATTCAGAAGACCGGGAGGAATCTCAGAACTCCAGCAAAATGTTTCTATTGAAGTTGAGATACAAATTTGAAATTCTTGTTATTTTTTTGGTTGATGGATTATTTTTAGAGCTTATCTCAATCAAATATAAAGAACCCTTGTTAGAAATCACAATTTTTTTCGTCTAAATTCAAGTCCAGTATTTGCAAATAAAAGAGAAAAAAACTCTCAAATTTCGAATTTTTCAACCTCGTTTTCCGATGATTTTTCACTTTTCATTACTTCAAATTAAAGTTTTTGAAAGCTCCAAGGGTTGTTCTTGATTTTTTTCAAAAAAATTTAAAAAAATGTTTATGTTTTTTTCAATTTTTTTGTGTACTCTTGAAGTTGCAAGTCAAAACTTCAAAAAAATTTAAAAAAACCAATCTTTTTCTTTCAAAAAAACTTTTATATGAGAAGTTTGATGTTTTTTTTTGATTTTCCGAGTCTGGATACATTTCAAATCCGAATTCAAAAATCTAGAACTTCTTCATTTTTGACGCTTTTGTATCTTGACCCAAAATAGAACGAAAAACTGGTTAGAGAAATCGGAAAAGCACGTGTTAATCGAACACCAATTTCAGATTTTCTTGTTGTAGACTGAGATTTACTGCGCGATAAAAAATTTTTCGACTGCACGAATCGGAAAAGCCAACGGCATGTCCTTCACGTGAGCTGTTCGTGGTCGTATTGGCATTCATCCAGTGGGAATAACAATCAGTTCAACAAGTTCGTCTCAATGATCGACGCTGATTTTTTTTTATCAATAAGTTCGATGGCGAGAAATCACGAGAACACGTGAAGTCTGCAAGGACGCTGAATAAATAGCTCAAGGGCAAGTTATTCAGGAAAGCATGGGGACAGGGTCCAGTTGTAGACGCCGTTGTTTTCCAAACTCAATCGTCAACAAAATAGCGGCAAACAAAATTGCTTGTTTTCTTCAAAGTGTTTTAGTTCTCTTTTTTCTGAACACGTGGCTCGATTTTTGGCGAGAAGTGGAACCATCAAGAGCGATTTTTTCCGCATCTGCGTATAAAAATAAATATAGACTTTGACCACCGTTTTTCCCAATTGCGAGATCTTTAGCATGAAAATTTGTTTAGATATTTCTCAGGCAAATCTTCGAAAGGTGTTGGGAAGGTAACCAGCAGGTGGTTGGAAGAGGAAGGGTTCCTAGAAGGTTTTGAAAATGTCTTTGGAAGGTGTTCGGAAGGTTGTTAAGAAGGTCTTTGGAAGGTGAAAATGGAAAATGCCTGCCAGAAGCCTTCCAGAAGCCTGCTGGCATGTTTCTGGAAGACTCTTTTTCAAGTAGAATGTGTTGGAAGCTATGTGGAAGGCGTTCGACCACTTGCTGGAAAAATTCCAGACGCCTTCCGAAGAACGAAAAGCAGAATCCACCCATCGTTCACCTGAGTTGAATGGGGATATCCCTCTTATCTAAAGTTACACTCAATTGCAAACAACGTCAACGAGTCGTTGTAAAAGCTCTCAGCAACATTAAAAACAGCCATAGTTGAAATATTTTAAGTGCATGGAAAACTAAGATTCAGTTTGCAGTGGAGTACGAAGGATTATCGAGGAGATGAAAATTGACATTTCTCTCAAATCAACGATATGAAAGTGTGTGCCATGACGTTTGCTAATTTTTAATGTGGTTTAAATTTCATGCGCCCGAAATCCCCATATTCCAATCGGTTTTTGCAGGAATAAAATCCTTCCTGAGACTGATTATCGGCGATTTCCAAATGAGGACCTCCTACCTTCTGTTTGGAAGATTTGACAAATTTTTCCTATTTGGAAACTGATTTGGAAGATTCCAAAATACCAAGAAAAGAACTTTCGTGTCTACAAATATGCGCACAGAATGACTGCTCCGAGTCTCAAAATATCTTCAAATGTTGACCCAGAGAGGTTTTCCTCAAAAAGAAGAAAAGAATAAATAAAGTTTGTTGGCGCTTCTCCAAGGACAAAAATAAGTGAGTAGAAGAAGTCAGAGCCACGTGCCTCGCATGTGAACTCAACAGATAGTGTTTTTTGTATGCACTATGTGTAAACGGCGACATGCTGGTCACGTTGGGAAAGTTCTCTTCGCAAACATTTTCTCGAAATCCTCTCGCATCATTGAACATTTTCCAAGCGCGCAGAACAATTAATTGTGAGGAAAACGCACATTTTAATGCTCGATTTCGTTTATAGGGGGAGCTGGAGAACGTTCACACGCCGACGGCTTTTTTGTTTGAAGTTTGTCTGAGCCTTTTTTCCGAACGAACATCAAAGTTGGGTGAAGATCTACAAGAATAAATATTTTCCAGAAAAGTTCTCAACCTTTCATTTCGTATGAATAAACTCAAATCTGATGGAAAAGTCAATAATTAAAAAGCTCAGTTTATACCATGGGCTCAGTTCTTTATAGTTTACCATCAAAGAAATCATCCACTTTCTTTTTTACCATCATAAATCATTTTGCAAAAAAATCGTTCTTGTCTCTTTGAAAAACTTTTTTTAAACTCAAGAAAGAATTTAGGTTATGATATTGCAAAAAGTTGCCGACAAAAAAATATTATATTTCATTTTTTTCAAACTTGAGCATTCCTCTATATATGTTTGAGCTTCAGCTTCCCGTCAAAATGAGCTATTTCCTTTTTTCATAGCTCAATGTATTTTTACTTTGCTTGCGGAACTAATTGCGTCAAAGACATGAATACTAATGATAATATCGAAAAAAGACGACGTGGTACACACCAAAAAACGATCATTCCTTTTGAGCTCTTATCAGACGCCTCATCGCTCGACAATTCATCGGGTTCAAAAGTCTGTCTCAGGGGCTCATTTGAAACCTTGGAACTTTAAGAAAAATTATATCCAACAATTAATTCTACTTTTCAATGTTGGAAGTAGTGTACTTTATCCCTTCTGAATTGATATTCGAACAAAATCGAAAAATAAAGAATTTCTGAGCCAATGCAACTTGAGTCTCAAATTACGTCATTATTCAATGAAAAGCAGAAGGAAGCAATGCCCAACGCGAGCAAAGTCCGAGGAGAGGCTACGAAAACCGGCGTCGCCATCTTTGTTGGTCGTTCTTTGCGTTCCTCTATCACCTAATGAAGAGAAAGTCCGAAGGTCTTCCGCATCATTTCAGGGTCAGGTGAGAGATCTTAATCCTCATGGCTTCAATCTTCTATCTAAAAAGTGAGGGTGGAGATTTGTACTCCTCGGCGGATCAGGCAGCCATAACTCGGAGGAATGTTTGTGTGGCTGGTCTTAATCCTGCTTCTATCGGAAATCAGTGATTAGATGAGCCATGTGGCCTCTAATCTCGTGGGGTTTCAGGTGACTTAATCTTTTGTTATTATCATTTGGTTTATTTGCTCGGATTTGCAATGGGGGTGGGGGATGAACTCGCCCAGAGATAATGTCGTTTGGATTGAGGGTGGTTAATCCTTACAAGTTGAATGTCGCCCTACAAAGGATTCTTCTCTGGATTTCTTAAATATCAACGTAGCATTCATGGTCAAAGGTCCTGCAAGCGATTCCTTTGAGGAAAAGGAATAAAAATTTATTTCTTTTCCGCAAAAGGAAACTAAAAATTTTTAATTTTATTTCTTTTTCAAAAAAACTTCAGCTTTCCTGAGTTTGCGAGACAGAAAAAAATCGAAGTCAAAATTATTCTCAGTTCAGATTCAAACGTCAAAAGTTTCTGAAAAAAACCTCTTGCGTAACTGCTAAAAGTACGTCGCATTTGATCCGCAACGGCTTAAACGGTCATTTCGGAGTGTTGCGCAAATAGATTGGCTTAACGCGTCACGGCTGCGAAGCGGTTTAAGTTTCGTGACGCTTCGAGTCATTTTCAGCGCGGCTGTCTATTTCCTAACATCAATTTCATTTTTGGTTCGAAGTGAATGGAAAGAGAAAATTTCGAAAAGTTCATTCTTGTAAAGCCTGGAAATTCCATGAAAAAAAGTAATTGAAGAAGTCTAAAATCTAAAAATTTTCTTTGTGAATAAAAATCCAAAAAGTGGAGTGTAGCATGACCGGAGGAGTTCCAAACAACGCTAGAAACTTTCGAAACTATTAAGATGCAGTCCGTGTCGCTGAGAGAAGCACTAAACTCTGAAAAATAAGCTTGACGAAAATTGAAGAAAAAGGCCTTTCCTGAGCAACTATCAAATTCAGTAAGAGTAATTTAACAATCAAAATATGAAGATTTGCCAAATTTTCCAAGCGTTTTTTCTTTTCTGTTTTTGGCAATCGCTGTTGAAACTTATAATACCCTAAATACAACCAGTTTTCTCACGGAGAAAATCTTACAGAGGAGGTCATTGCGCTTGGGAATTTCCGGAAAATGGGACAGAACACTTTTTGATGTATCAGATGAAGTCTCGAACTGCAAAACTCCCTAGTTTTCTAGAAATAAGGGCTCAAAGCCTCAAAATAGGCTATTTTTAATGGATTTTAAAAGTTTCCATCGAGTTTGAGGCGCCTTTTCTCGAAAATGAGGAAGTTGTGCAGGTCAAGACTTACAGTATTTTCTTCTGGTACATCAAAGAGCGTTCTGGCCAATTTTCAGACCTCCCTTGTTAGTTACATGTTCGAAACTCCAAATGTTTTCAAGGAATTGTGTCCGAAATGATTGAAGTTAACCTGTATGATGCATTTTTTTAAAGTCAGCAATGCCCATCTTAACAACCAAAAATTAGAAAGAGAATGTTTGAAAACTTCTTAAGTTTTCTGAACATGTTCCGAGTTTGAAGTTCATCATTT